TATGAGCGTTCCGCTGAAATAGCGCATAGTGTAAAATCACTTTTAAGTAGATAGCCAAATATATTTTAACTTGATATTCTCTCTAAGGAACTAAAGCACTTCTATGCTTCTTATGAATAATGCATTCCCATTACGATCTTAAAATCACTATAAATTTTAAGAAGTCCTGGAAGGAGTTTTAGTTTTTATAAGTCTCATTTAAGAATCTCATTGTAATTTCAGTCCAACGGTTCCTTCAATTTAAAATACTTTTGAATTATGTATCACTCTAACGTCTGAATACCAAAAAAACTTCTGAAGGACAAACATTTTATATTTCAACAATTATGAGTTCTGTAGAGCTTTTTATCGTAGAATGTTTAAAGTACAAAAAAAATGGCGAGTAAGCCATTATCTTGTTTAAGTTTTCTCACATATGTTATATTACTTAATTTCAATTTCAAGTATGAAGTCAAGAATACTAACGAAATTTTAAGACTCTTGAATGGAACACATTAATATTAAAACATTTCCAAAAAAAATATCACACGGTCAAAAGAAATATGTGTTTTATAACAGTTTCCTTATTTTTTTCCTGAATATATTATGTACGTACCATTTAACTTAGAAGATTTCTCATCAATATTTTACAAACTTTTATTTAACTTCCTCCATATATGTGAACATATATCTCATTTTTGGGTAGATACTTATTATATCTTCAAAATTTTACTGCGTACACTTCCAGTTTCTTCTTATAGTATTAATTTTCTTCTTAACTTATATTTTGCAGATAAGTAGAGTACAAGTAATCGTTCGTCTAAAAGTCTTTGGAACTGTACATTTGCTTCGGCTTTTCACAATTCAGTCTATCCTTAGCATCACCACTAGGTAAAAATGACTTTCCTATACTGTCAGATATTAGACATATAATTTAATAAATTTTAATAATTTTCTATTCTAGATGAAATTTATCGACCTGGACCTACTACTTGAACTGTTACATCAGTGTCATCTCTTATGCTTTAATTCAAAAAACGTTGAATGCCTGTTATCATTAACGGTATCCTTACTAGTTTATTTGATGTACCATTTAGAATTCTTAGGAATGGCAAACTCTCTTTGGATTTTTTCGTTTATATTATCTCCAGTATAACTTTTCTTCAAACTTCAAACACATATTCTCCTCATATATATAGCAAAAATCATCTTGAGCGTCTAAAGACCATTTCTTTCAACTGTTTATAGCACAAAAACTTCAGAAACTAATCTTAGCACAGTACAAACTGCTATCGATTTAAACTTCAATTATATAAATCAAAAATAAAGTTACGCAAACTGCCCGAGAAATTTCGAGACAGATTTGACAAAAACAAGTCCTAAGAGAACATTATCATCCTCAGAATGCTCGGCAACAGACAAAAAGTTAAATTGTGTAAACTAGTATTAAAGTTGGTAGCCTTCGACTTTTGTCCTAAGTTAGTGCAAATACCTTAACTTTCTTTTCTCTTCAAACGCTATGTGGAAACCCTTATCTTCTAGATTAACTTAGATATGTAGAAAACAAATAATTAAATAACTTTGTGTTTGATTTAACTGTAAAAAATTTCAACCTATTCAAATACGAGTACTTAAACGTCGCGACGAGGTTTTATATCGTAGAAATTATGTCAAGACGTTGTAAGTAAACAGTAAGAGTTTTAGAATACAAAAAATACGCATTTAGCACATTTAAATAAAGCCTGTATTTTAAAATAGTCTTTTACTTTTGTTTTTTTCTGCTTATTGTGGTTTTAATAGTTTTTAGGATTGGATTTTTATATTGTCAAGCCATCTTTCTCCATGAATGAATGATTACCATATAATTAAATATCAGATATGAGAATGGTAATCCAACACATTTTTTATATTACTTACTAAGCTCTGATGAATTGCAATGGATTAAGTAGCAATTTCTATAACATATATCCAAATCTTGCGACTTATATAAAACGCTATTACGGTTAGAGCGTTATCTCAATTTTCTGATTGAGGTAGATCCAAAATAGATTTCCTCATATACATATTATATAGGATAAGTAATCCGCTACCCAGGGATTCCGTAAATGGAACATTGAATTCGTTCTTTCAGTTCACCATCAGGAAACAAATTGGATCCTTATAGTACTTTTATTCTCATTCAAAGTGTCCTTTACAGATTTTTAAGTCGTTAGGGTTTATTTTACTCTTTTTATTAGTTCACTAGCTTTCCGCCCGCAGCTTCGCCCGCGTGGAGTTCGGTTAATCGCGTTTCCAAGAGAAACTTTCAAAAGTCTGGGATTAAAACTATCCTATGTTCTTTCTCAATGTCAACTCTATGTCTGTACCAAATTTCACTAAAATCAGTTCAGTGGTTTAGGCGTGAAAGCGTAACAGACAGACGGACAGAGTTACTTTCGCATTTATAATATTAGTAGGGATATATTAAGTGGTGGTGAAAATGTGTCTTACCCCCAACCTGTTCCCAAAAATGTGTTAGTTCCTTGTGCGTCTTTAATCAAATACGAATATCTTGTTACGTTATTTGTAAGCATTTTTTAAATAAAATAATTTTAATAAAGTGTTGAGGTATAGTCACATGTGAGAACTTTATAGTTTTGCCAATAAGATTTTAAGGAAATGAAAGGTTAAATAATAATATCAATATCTTTATTATATCAGTTCAAAATAAAACTAAGACACACAAAAAAACAATAAAGAAGGAAATAGTGTTCAAAGTGCGACATTAGCACTAAAAAGCGATCTCAGAAAAACAACTCAAAAAGGACTAGTAGCTAGAGTTTTCAATTTTATGGAGCGTTGGGGATGTGTAGCTAACATACCTATATACATCTATTATTCTATACATATACGAATTAATATATAAAGTATGTTATTAGGATTAAGACAATACATTCATCGTAAAGATATAGAAAGAAAAACGTTTAATTGGCTATGGCCCATAGGCCACAAGTCCATGAATAAGCTTTTCATGATAAATCATGTTATAAAAAAATCGTAATGTTTAAATGACTCATTGTTTATTAAAAAATGGTTGAAACTTTAGAATTTCATAACTTGCATTATAGTAAAAAATATATATCTTATCCATATATTATGTTTGTTTTAAGTAAAACCAATAAGCTCGGATGTATTTTTAATTATGGCAATCTATTTGATTATCAACTATTATTAATATGTAGTAGGATTAAAGGATTATCCTTTATCGTACATTTTATTTGCTTTAAATATTGTAGCAGGTTTTACGGTTTTCAGCATTTCATTCCCAAGCGAATTTAAGCAATATACTGTATAATAGAAATGATTAAATTGAGATACATGTATGTACATATAAATATTATATCTTTATTTTACCTGAAGCTCTTTGAAATGTTTGTAAGGTCGTAATGGTTATTATATATTGATAAGGATTGTTAAAATTATGGTTTACGTAAGGTTTTTACAATCTTACGATTTTTTGATACGTAATAATTAAGTCTAACATACTTGACTAGATACGGTTATAAAGAGATTTGAATTAATAATTCTATTAGATGAAGATTATATTTTAACAACAAGTTAGACAATAAATTTAGTTTTTCAATCCTCGGGATGAATTGGTCTTGAGTTAGGGTCTGAAAGCATCGATCACATTATATTGAAGCTGCTATAAATAAATAATTGAGGTGATATGATTTTTTTCATATCCAACGATCAACCAAGACACTGATATTTTTAAACAAAGTCAACCTACTTAGTCGTTTGTTAACCTTTTGTAAAACCTACCCTTGTTAAGCTTTCTATTACGTGACGTATTAGCTCTTCCATGCGTGACAAAAATAGTAAAATTACAATCTTCAAATGTTACTTAGATCTATATTATTTTAAATTACTAGATTCGTCTAGTTTCTATCAAATATACTTTACATTAGAAAGTAAAATATTTTAAAGTTATTATCCAAACAAAGTAATAGAATACAATTTTGTTAATTTTATTTGTTTTATGACAGTTATCCCATATCATTGTTAAAATGTGACAGTTTAATAAAAAAAATGTTTTGACAGTTTTGAAAAAAATATCAAAAAATTTCAAATCTTTTATCGTCCCACGCTAACAATTTTATTAGCAAATAATAATATAAAGTATAATAAAAAAATGCTGAGTAAATACATATTATATCCATAGAATTTCTCCTGGTTTATGCGCCGAAGTTAAGCACAAGGGTATGTTTATCGTCGCCACCTCATCAATGTGAAACGTGACTTCTTAACAAAATATAAGACATATTATATTATATTTGAGTAATTTTCGATAATACTAAGAAGTAAAAATATATCCGGAAGGATAAAATTGTTTATTACCTATATATCTTTAAAGAAAATAACTTTATGGTTAAAAATAATAATTGTATTAATTAAAACTATGATTTTTAAATTTACAAACTATTCTCGATATAGAAAGATAAGAAAGCCGTACAAAATGTTGTGTCCTTAATTACCGAATAGTATTAACTACAAGAAAATTTGTGTTAACAAGCTTAAATTTTTATATAGTTGTTTAATTTTTGTTATTTGAAACTTTACAGATTTTTTAATATATAAAAGTAAGTAAGTATACTTAATTATATAACATTATTAATATTTTTCACACTTTTCTAATTATACTTTTAATTTTAACTTTAATTTTGAATTTTATACCATAAATTATCAATCAAATAGATCCTAATAAATATATTCATAGCATATACAATGTCCACTTTTCTTATATTTGTTATGTAAGTAATTTAAATAAATATTATAAATTAATTTGGAGTAATGAATTGAATATCTATTCTCATTGACATTTGACACTGACAGCTACAAACGATGAATGAAATCAACATGAACTCGGTGTGTGCCTTTGATTTAAAAAAATGAGCAGCAGTGAATAGGTTATATTTACTCATTTTTCATATTAGTAAATATATATTTAAGTTTAATTTTACATACAAAACTACATAAAGATGATGAAAATATCCGAGGTAAGAATCAGCTTTAACCTGTACTACTTCATTTCGTTTTATTTTGAATGCTTGTGAGTTATTTACTAATAGTAAAGCTACTTTAAGCTTTTTTTTCTTTATGTAACTGTAATGAATCTATTCTCTAGAGTCTAGAATACTTTTATATATCCAAATGTATAAATAAATAGTAATACATTTAAATTATATTTTATTTCGTCCATTTTATTTTATTAAAAAGTATGTATTTACATCTCTTACTGAAGTAATTTATATAAAAACATTTTTATAGTTGCCAGGTGATGAAGATGCTGGACTGACCTGTAGAACTTATGTCTTTCAAAACGAAAGCCACACATTAGGGAATGCATTAAAATGTATCATCGACAGATAGTGAGTGATTTAAATTATTGAATATATTATTAATCATTACTCTCATCTTATTAATATATATTATTTTCAGTGAAGATGTCCAATTCTGTGGCTACACTGTCCCTCATCCGGCAGAAGCCAAGATGCATTTCAGGATACAAACTCACGAAACTCCAACATTAGATATACTGAAAAGAGGACTTACAGACTTGCAAAAAGTGTGTGAACACACAATAGATCTCTTTGAAAAAGAAGTAAAAGAATTTACCAAACCTTAAATGCAGTTTTACTCTCTTCTCATATTTGTCTAATTATCGTAGTGAAAGTAATATTTGTATTGACATTTATATTTTTTACTAAAGTAATACTAATGTTACAATACTAAAATAAATCTGAATTATCTTTTACCTATGCCTTTTAAGCAGTAATTATTTTCATAATAATATTAAATCTAAATTGTAAATAATTGAATGATGTTCATTTGCAATAATATTCCAAAATAATCTCCTACATGTTTGGGGTAACTAGATGTGTAATTATTTAAGCAAATTTCCAATTTAATGCAAGAAACAATAATATAGATAATCATATTATAAGTGGCGTCATCTGTGCCGTACTAATTATGTTGTACTATAATCCTTAGCATTATTTTGACGATTATTATTCATCAATAAGTTGAATGTAACGATAGATATTGTAAGGATAATATTGTGGGAACCTGATAATTAATTTAATTTTTATTATAAAAATATAAATAGCAGTTTTAATTGTCATCAGGCTATCAGAGCCCACTGCTGAGCAAAGGCCTCTTTCTTGCATTAGTTAGTGTAGGTTTTGAGCATTAATCACCATGCTTGATGGGTTGGTTGATTTCAAACTTATAATTGTGAAATTATAAGTCCAGGTTTCCTAGATTTTTTTCCTTCACCGTCTGTCAGTGTTGTCTAAATACTCTTAGAAAGTACATATGACTCGGAAGAATCACATTGGTACTTGCCAGTTTTCGAAGCCGCACCCTTGTGCACGAGAGGCGGGCCCTTTAACCACTAAGCCACCACTGAGTTTTAATACTGATTTGTAAAATTTCCAATTTAATGCAAAAAACTATAAGACTGTTGTTTTAGACCCACATATACATTGAATTCAGTTGAATTCTGCCATTAGTTTATATCTGTACTTATTTAATTTACATCATTAAGCCTTGATTTATCAATTTTATTATGCTTTAACTATGAAGTATGTTACATATTTTGGTTGAAAACAAAGGATTCAATTTTAAAATGTATTTTTTTAAATACTAGTCAAACAATCATTCATAGTACATATATGACTAATGTTTTAGACAAAGATTAAAAGACGAAATAAATTCCAAAAGTTTTATTTAGAATTGCATTTAGACTTTGAACTCGGAGTACGGTGATTTGGTCAAAGGAATGTCCCTCCACAAGTCTGGTGTTAAGTAGGCATAGGTCTTTGCAATGGCCGCATAGGTGGCTTTAGCAAAGTTGCCGAGGGTTCCTGTTGAACCACGAGCTGAGGTGTAGCAATCCTGGACTCCGGCCATCTGAAGAAGCTTCTTCGGAACAGGGGCTGAGACGATACCGGTACCACGAGGAGCAGGAATGAGACGGACAGTGACTGAACCGCACTTACCAGTTACCTGAAACAGTTAATAATTATAAGTAACTGCTAAAATGAACTGTTAATTTAGATAAAATAACGTAATAATCAGACGCAACTGAGCTTCACAGGATTTACCTCAAGAGGATACCACGAATGAAATGATTTGTTAATTCTCATCATTAAGATTTAAAGTCAATATTCGTAATAATTATAATCAATAGTTACCTTGCAGGGTACTGTGTGAGGCTTGCCGATCTTGTTACCCCAGTATCCTCTGCGGACAGGCAGAACGGACAGTTTAGCCAGAATAATAGCACCTCGGATGGCTGTGGCTACTTCCTTGCTGCACTTAACGCCCAGACCAATGTGTCCATTGTTGTCTCCGATAGCCACGAAAGCCTTGAAACGGGTACGTTGACCAGCCCTAGTCTGCTTCTGTACGGGCATGATCTTCAAGACCTCATCGTTCAAAGAGGCACCAAGGAAGAAATCGATGATTTCGAATTCTTTGATGGGCAATGAGAACAGATAAATGCTCTCAAGCTTGTCGATCTTTCCCTCTCGCACGAGACGTCCCAGTTTGGTTACAGGCACCCATTCTTTCTGGTCTTCCTTACCGCGTCCACGGCCACGGCCGCGACCACGACCACGGCCACGTGGCCCACCACGTCCTCTGTCACCACCGCGTGATCCGAATCCGCCACGGAAACCACCGCGTCCACCGGCTGGAGCTGCGTCCGCCATTCTATAGATATAAAAGTTTTATATAAAAAACAATATTTGAGAATTAGGTAGCAAGAAAAGGAGTATATTAAATCAGACGCGTTAAGGCCATCACCGTGTGAACACTATGGTAGATACCACGAATGAAATGTTTTGTAATTCTCATCATATAAAGCACCACGTGGAGATAGGTTACATCAAAATTCTTGAACAAACTAAACCTAGATTTTTGCCAATTGAAGCAACAATCTAAGATTTATAATTTATAAAGAATTAAGACAAAATATAAAAAATAGTCAACACTCAGAATTATAATATTTAATAATCACTTGTACTTACGTTGAACTATGAGCTCGATTAGACGATCAAGTTCAAAATGGACGATTTATGAAATGTCCTTCATAAGAATGAAATTGAATGAAAGATTGAGAATAATATGAATGAAAATGTAATTGAATGGCTTGTTGAATGACTTTGAGTTGCCAGATTTTAAGTTTCTTGCAATTTATCGTATGAAAATACAATTGAAATCATTTTAATTCTGTAAATTTTTAATATATTCATAAAAATTACCGACCTCAATGATCTAAGTATATTTTCTTATCACAACAATATGAAGATTGTAGACTGTGTACTAGTAAATTTATAAATTTAACATTTTTACCTTTAAATTGGTAAAAACAATAGCAGTCCAGTATTTTGAATATTTTTTTTTAGGTTTTACCAATTTGTGATCTATGAAAATGGGTAATTAAGATAACTTTTAGTTTTCCCTCTTCATTTTAGTGAGTTTGAGTATCAATCACGTCTTTATTTCGCCAGAATAAAAGATATCTTGATAATGAGAGATAACTTTTAAAGTTAACATGTTTAGAAAATTTTTAAATAATGTATCTCAAACATACTTATTATGTTACCCTATTATCCCTTAGACAACGTTCCGAATCATGAACAATACTAAGCGTGTTAACCAACTATGAAGCACAATTTTATCAGAAAAGTTTTTGGGAGGCTTTAGCCTTTAAATACCTACACCACACCCATCGATCTCAACAAAATGATTCTTTACTGATAAGTTGTATAAACCTGCATATTCTATTAAAAAAGAAATACAAGGACGGTGTCTCATTACTTAATTTTTATTAAATTCGTCCCGTACCTTAAAAGATACAAATTTTTATTTGTCTAGTATTCCATAGCGATAAATACAATTCGCTTCTTTCATTAATGGTGTATCAAGTTATTTCATAATCTTGTAATAAAGATATTATGTTATTTATGTCAAATATGTGTTATTCCAGGTAACGAAAAATCAATAAAAATAAACATATTTAAAATAATATTTACTTAAACGACATTCCAACATTACATGCAAGTATGTAAGATATTTTTCATATCATACGATAAAAATCTAAGGTATATAGATAGGTAAGCGAAACTAATATATTAGGATTACTACGCTTTATTTTATAACTTTAAAAAACTACATACTTCCGACGTTTCGTTTACTTTACGGCAACCGTGGTCAGGATTGCTATTGTTTTGAATATAATAAAAAAACGTAGTAATCCGAAAATATTAGTTTCATTTAAATGAATACTCTCGAAAGTCTTAGATCTCATTATATAAGTAGTTCCTAGTAGTTAATATTTAACGAATAGGCCAGGAACAATTAATCTTTTCAATTTTAAATTTCGTCATAGTTATATCCTGGACAACAAATGGGAAAGGTTCGTCGCCTAGACCATGGCAAGCGGCGCCGTATTCTCCGTCGTTTCTCAAAGCTATAACGGCTCCCATAAAATCAGGGTAATGTTCTGCTATTCTATTAACAGCAACTCTAGCCGCATCCGTTGGTGAAGCACCACGTCGCATTTCCTCCACTGCTAGAAAACTAAACACAAGATTAATTAATGTATTGATATTACATACTATAAAACAGATTTCAGAAATTTATTTTTGTTTTATACACACTAATAATGAAGGCAGTATACTATAACACATGGTAGTCATAAATATTAATAGTTATAAAGTAAGTAAAAATATTAACTTGTATATATAAAGATGCTTGAATATTTACTGGTAACGAACCTGGGCAAAAACCTTAACATAATATCTCCGTCTCCTGTCGCTGTTGCACCACCAACAGCATTATCTGCATAAGCTCCGGACCCTGGGATCGGGGAGTCACCAATTCTCCTAAAAGAAAGAAATAATTTCATTAATCCCTACTAATATTATAAATGCGAAAGTAACTCTGTCTGTCTGTCTGTCTGTTATGCTATCATGCCTAAACCACTGAACTGATTTTAAAGAAATTTGGTACAGAGATGGAGTTGACCTTGAGAAAGAAGATAGGATAGTTTTTATCCCAGACTTTTGGAAGGTTCTCTTGGAAACGCTTCACATGGACGAAGCTGCGGGCGGAAAGCTAGTTGTTAATATATAGTAAACTTATATATGAGTCGTATAGAATCAAAGACGGCAATCTACACTTAGACTGAAATCAGAGAATTGAACATTTTCGGTTTGTGTCGTCCGATTCAAAAATAATATTACGTAACTTTATTTTAAGTGATGTAAGTATTGATGCGCTTAATATTAAACTCTCATTGTGTACTATAACAATAACAATTTGAAGAAATTTAGAAAAGAATTTTGCAGAATGCCGGATTTGAAACCAAACATCTGAGAATGCCGTATTTGATACCAACTTATGTCGAGATTGCCGTTTATGAAACTGACTAAAAAATTAACTCGTTCAGGGTTGTCAAAAAGGATATAAAAAAATGTTATAAATTTGTTTTAAGGATTTTATTTGAATAAATCAAGTGGTTATAATGAAACTACACGGAATGCACAACAACACAGCACAAGTAGCACATTTAAGCCATTTTGTGTTATGCGTGCAGACTCTTTCAGGGACTGATTAAACCAAAACTATAACCAGAAACAAGCAGAATATATTGAAATTTTAAAAAATCCTTCACCCAATAAAGAGAAGCTATAATCCTGTCGCGTCTTTTAAAAAGGGCTGACAATTATAATTTAAAACTGTGTAACTTTTTTTCAGATTTTGTTCAGGAATATTAAAAGAACCGCATGAAAATCCATTCACACATATACACATAGTATAGTGGTCAACTTTATAACACTCATCTTTTGTTAGGGTTAAAAAACATAGAATACACTTTGTCTTAGTCGTGACGTGACAGCCCTATACATTTTACTTGAGTTTATTCGCCAAGTTTTGTTTCCATTTTTCTGAGTTTCTCTGTCGTTTCCGGGCAAACTTATTTATTACAGGCTTAGAATGTACATCCATGATTCAATTTATACATATATTTTATAACAGTAATCACAATAAATAAAATAATTCAATAAAAACACGGACACAAATTCGTTAGAAACTTCATACAGACGTCATTAGATCACGTGACCACACGGACGCTTGTGATTGGTGGAATGAGTTAGAATGCCGGGTTTGATTCTTATGCTGTTGAAGATTGCCGGATTTGATGCTAAACCTGATATTCAAAAAGGATTTCACTGCGAGATAGTCGTTTTTGTTATAAAGTAAATGAAGTACCTAACGTTATTTTAAATTTCCTGTGTGTCCATATAAAAATCTTTATTTTGATAAAATGTGCAGATTGCCGCCTTTGATTCTATACGACTCATATATAATATAACAAATACCCAGGTATTTTAAATTTTGCCCCATTTGTTGATGTTCCAGCAGCAACATTTCCTTGTTTATCAACAGCTATCATTCCAATCGTGTCATGGTTGAATCTGCTCACTTTCATTGGAATTATATTTTTACTCCTATGTACTATGTTGTCTATTTTTTTATAGGGTCCGCAAAACTTGCTCGGATCGGGCTCCACATTCTGTGATAACATATAAGGTCAAGTGATTCACTCAAGATAACACTGAAATAGATTCGAGTTCTACAAAAGAACATAAAAATAATCAAATAATGAATATTTTGTTCAATTTACATAATATACTATACCATCCAAAAATTTGGTTGGCATTGGTCTCTGTAGTGCCACTTTAACCACATTCTTTTTGATGTTGTTGTAGTAAGAGATTCCTCTTTGAAACCCATTTGTTTAGCAAAATTTGTTGCCATCTCTCCGACAAGGATAGAGTGTTTTGTATGTTCCAATACATGTCTGGCAACTGAGGCAGCATGTTTGACTCTTCTGAGTGCACCAACGGCACCCACATTCATAGTGCACCTGTGAAAAAATTAGAAATACATTTATTACCTAAAATGAGCACATACTTTTTTTAATGAGTAATACTGTTAGTGGCAGGGCTTTCACAGCGTCACTGAAAGAGGACATACAAATTAAAATATTTTTTTATTAAAAGTTTTCAATGCCTTTGTGATTTTTTCTGTACTTCTATTTGACTAGCTTTATCTATGACATAATTTTTTGCATTAAATATTTATTACTTACAAAAATAGAAGTAAATAAAATTTCTAAAGTAGAATCAGCCGAAATTACTACTTCAGCTAACTGCCAGTGAAAGTCCTTTCAAAATTATAATGTCTGTTTCAAATACTAGCCAGACCAAACAGGCAAACATTTTGTATTATAAATAGCAGCCATCAATAAATAAATCAATAAACACACCCATCCATAATAAGAGCATCCAGTGTAGTTTCTGATTCTTCGTCTGGGCTTCCTCCATACCCCACAGTTCCATCACATTGTTGTTCTTCACATACTGAAGTTCCCTTTTCAATAGCATCCAGTGCAGAACCACTTAGTTTAAGGACATCCCATGCTGAAACCAGCATGTATTAATTATGAATATATATACATAGTTTAAAAAGGAAATAAATTACTGTACATACCTGTTACCGTAGCATTTACGAAATTCCATGTTGTGATTACGACCGGCAGTTTTGTATCACTATCAACCAAAGCAGTAAGAGCAATAAAAATAAAAATTTTCAACATTGTAATTTTTGTCAGATCCATACAATGTATATTTTTGAAAAAATATTATTTATTAATTAAAATAATAATTTTATTTTTATTTAAATGTATCAAACTGATTCTTAATAGTCATCCTCTAGGATTGAATTGTTGACAATGTGAAATATTAATATTGTTGTGCACTCTGAACGTAAATAACGCAGAATATTTTCTTCAACTAATATTTAATATGACATTGAATTGTCAGTTAAGATATGGTTTTGAAATATTGAATTATGTACTTGATACTGATAAAAATTTAATCTTTTTTAAGAAAGCACGAAACCTGATTAGCCGCTATCCACTCAACAAATAAAATTTCAAAATAAAGGGTAGAAAATAATAATTCAAAATTTTATTCATATAAATTAGAAATAGATATTAAAGAAAGCAATATATTGTTCTAAATAATGTGTGGAGTATCATTCAACAATTATGATTTATGTCATTTCGAAACCAAAGTAATTTTTGACAATACTGCAATACGACCAAAAAATGGATTTGAATACTTTTTGCCGAGAACTTCCTAAAATAGTCTGTTATTATTTAATTATTTGTCGACGTTTATTATTGCATTCAATACATTTGTTTGAAATATTTTTATTTTTTAAAGGAATTACATGCCCACCTAAATGGTTCTCTGAGCCGTTCTACGATGCTCCAGCTTCAACGCTATCTTGCAGATTTTGGCGTTTCGGATAAGTCGAACGCCTTTTTAGATGAATTTCAAATTGGTTCAGGAGATAGACGTAATTTATCAGAGTAAGCGCAGCTTAAATTTGTCAATACCCAGAACAAAACTACCTAACATGTTACTGTTTCAGTATGGCCTAAATAATGTACAATTTATCTAGAATCTATTTGAATTCTGAATTTATTTTGAATTCTGTTTTCAGTTGCTTCCAAGTGTTCAATATTGCACATTCATTAACAAGCACTCAAGACACATTGGCCATGGCAACAGCACTGACACTAAAAGAGTTTGAAGATGATGGCTGCTGTTATATAGAACTTCGAAGCACACCACGTGACACACCACATATGACCAGCAGACAATACATTGAAACTCTTATTGAGACTTTAAAGTATATATTTATAAGATTAAACTTAAGAATTACTTATAGCATATTTATTAATTAACATTCATAAAATTACAGCACAGCAAATACAAATTTATCAATAATTTCATGCCTTATAATATCTATAAACCGAGGTCGTTTACCATCTGAAGGAGATGGAATAGCAGATTTGGCTATTGAATATCACAAGAAGTATCCTAATTTAGTGGTTGGCATAGAACTTAGTGGCAATCCAACAGTTGGCAAATTCCAAGATTTTGTTCCAGCCTTACAAAGAGCAAGAGAAGCTGGTTTAAAAGTACTTATATTTATATAATATTACCAGATTCTGGTTGTGTTATAGAATATAATGTTTATTTTAAGGTAACTTTGCACTGTGGAGAAATAAGTAATCCAGAAGAAGTTTCTGACATGTTAATGTTTAAAGCAGATAGGATAGGTCATGGAATATGTATCCATCCTAATTATGGAGGGAATGAAAGTACTTGGAATCTTTTATGCAATTACCAAATACCAGTTGGTGAGTTATATGTAACAAAGAAATATATTTAATATTGCTTTATTAAAAAATATATATTAATACACTATTTTTATCATATTTTAATACAATATTTGTTCCAGAGGTTTGTCTTACTAGTAATATAAATACTAAATCTATTCTTCAATATAGTTCTCATCATTTTAAAGAACTGTATGGTGCTAATATTCCTATTATCTTATGTGTAAGTATTTATTATTAGTTGTTTGAAGTTTCCTGACATTTTCTTCATATTTAAAATAACAACAATTTCTTTTCTTATGATTATAGACTGATGACAAAGGGGTCTTTGCCACATCTCTGTCCCAAGAATATTCAATATGTGCTGAAACATTTGGCCTTGATGCTTCAAAACTAGCAAGATTAAGTCTTAAAGCCTGTGACTACATATTTATGACAGACAAGCGCAAAATACTACGAGAAAAAATTCTTAATTTCATAAATAAAAATGAATTATAAAACATTGCTGGTATTTATACAATTATCGTTCCACATAATGTGTCCATATCCAGCAAATCCTGTTGAAATAAAATGTTGTATTCAAATATGTATGTTATTTCAAAGAAGTACTTAAAATATTATAAATGTAACTAACTCATGTTACCAAAATCATCGCATCCAAAGCTGAAAAAGTTTGTCAGCTGTCAAATATTTGCCTTACAACTTACTCAAATGTTCCTGAGTGGTAACCTATAAAGTAGTTATTAATATACAGTACAAATACTGGTGCTCCGAAATTAAGTAAAAAAATTATAAAATACATAATGAGTGACTTATCAGACTTCTCTATGGACAAAGGGGGAGATTCTGAACTCCAAGATTTTCTTATAGCCGAAAAGCAAAAAGCTCAGTTTAACGCTCAGGTGAGTTATAAATTAATTATTTAAATCAGATTACTATAGTACGAAATAAGAGTATAGTTTCAAATAAGAATTATATTTAAACTATCTAATGTAAGTCATACCAATAATGTTTGTTATTTAGTTAATATTTATGGTGTATAAATTTTTTACAGATACACGAATTCAATGATTTCTGTTGGGACAAATGTGTTGACAAGCCTGGAGCTAAGCTGGACTCGCGCACAGAAACATGCATCAGTAATTGTGTTGAAAGATTCATTGATGTTTCATTGTTAATCACTAATAGATTTGCCCAAATGCTCGAAAAAGGTGGAGGCATGCAGTAGACAAGCATTATTTATATTTTTAATGTTATATAATTCCTTAAACACAATTATTTGTCTTAAAATGTTGACCTAACTGAATAAAGAATGTTTACCTATGTTTTTAAATAAAGAACATTAGTTTTATGTTGGTTATGCATTTTAAGAGTATATTTTTAGAGTAAACTAATTAGAAATAAAGAAACAAACTCATTTTCTTATCGTTTTATTTTATTTTAACCATCAGATACTGTTATTTACTTTAGGTCAAAAAAGATCTTGCATTATTGAATTTATTTATGTTGATCTATATCAATAGTGTATCCTTATCTCCCGACTCTGCCCAATGTGGTATCAGTACGAGGATCCGCTGTAACAGTTTGTACCGCGACTAGGGCTTCATTGATTTTAGTTTGAAGTTCTCTCAAGTCCTGTATAAACAGGAGTTTCAACACATCATTGGGTTGTTGCACAATACTTGCATCACCTTTGTGGTCGGGATGTGGTGCTGTTTTCAATATCTTTGCTACCGCTGAAAGTCTGAATTTCGGATCAGGATGTGGACCTACGCCGGTTAAAGCACACACTCTATCAACACCAGCGATAAATGCAGAACTGGTAACTGTAAGGATATAAATAAAAATATTAGAAATATTAATCATAATTAGATCTAAGATTTTTGCAAGTACTCATTAAAATGAAACTAATATTTTCGAATTCACTACGCGATTTCATATTTACGTCGATCACAGTTACTGTAAAGTAACCGAAACATCGGGAGTATGTAGTTTATAGTCAAAAATAAAAATTGCATAGTAAATCTGAAAATGTTTGTGTCATTAGTATGAGTGATAAATAATTTTAGAATAAAAATAAACTTATCTTACAGTCAAGATTGTCCAATGGGTTTGAAGACACTACATTAGGTGTTGCTTGTTTAGGTTGTTCAACTTTGACATCCTTATATTTAGTAACTGAAATAATATTATTCAATATTATAATAATAATATTTTTAGATGACAAATATTAATGAATAAGATGTAACAAATTATTGGTTAATATTACAAGAAACCTACAGTATTCTGGAACAGATACATATGTAAATAGGTACTTAAGATTACCATTATCTCCATATTCCAGTCTCACAGCGTAGGAGAGAAGCCAATTTAATTGTTCATTAGGATCTCCACTGTTTATTGGACTGACAAGGTCTTTCTGATATGTATCATATGCTTCTTTCCAAGAGTCACTATCAATATTTCGCAGACCTTCCCTTTCTTCTATTTTGTAATGCCTGATCTTTTGGTCTTCTAGCCAAAGAACGATACTTCTATATTCTTTTTCATCTAAAAGAAAAATTATTAATAATATTTTCTTTTGTGGAATTTTTTTTCACCGGCCGACTGTCAGTAAAAAAATATATTTAATTTACCTTCACAATTAAAGTTTTCGGGATTTGGGTGACCAAGTGCCTTTAATTTCAGCTTGAACATATTATTTTCTAAATATTAATACTCTGAGCTTTTATAAATTGTATTTCAATTTGATGATTTATAAATAGGTACCTAAATAATTAATACATTACAATATTGAAAAACTGGTTGAACGTCAAAAGTGAAGTTTGTCTATTTCAACAGAATAAGCAATGGATTGTATGATTTTTTAAATTTATAAAAATAATAGTTTAATGGATATGCAAAAAAAACAGTATTTGTTTTTGTGTAATTAAATAGTTTTTAGTTTTACGAAAGTTTCATTTTTATCAAAAGTATTAAAGGAAAATTCAGATGTCAAAACTTACGTGTTGTGACATTTGATGTATAAAAGTCTTTAGGAATTGTATTTTGTAACAAAAATAATATTTAATTACTTAAATATTCTTTATTTCTTCATTTTTGTCTGTCAGTTAATATATCTCACATTTATTTTGTAACCAGGATTGTTTCCATTAATTAGTAAATACTTAAAAATGACGACGTGGATAAAAGATAATTGTGTATCGTTTTTTCAACTGTTTTGTATCAAAGTTGTGAAGACTGGAAGAGTACCACAACATATAGCTTTTATTATGGACGGAAATCGTAGATATGCTAAGAAAAATAGCGTTGAATGTACTGTGGGACATTACAAGGGTTTTGATAAGCTCTCAGAGTGCTTAAAGGTACGTCTATGTTCATCTTTATTTAAAACAAGGAATTTATGAATATGTTTTTTAATTTACTTATATCTTTACTTTCAGTGGTGTCTAGATCTAGGGATACCACAAGTAACAGTCTATGCTTTCAGCATTGAAAACTTCAAGAGAAGTAAAAAAGAAGTTGATGCTTTAACAGAATTAGCAAAAGAAAAATTTCAGCGCCTCTTAGATGAAATGTACGTATTTTGTTATACTTATATTTCTAAATAATACTGATCTTGTAATCTAAGTTTTATGTTCTAATACTTTTGTTGTTTAGAGATCAAATAAATGAATGGGGAGTGAGATTGAATGTTGCCGGCCGACTCTGTCTTTTTCCACATGATCTACAAGTGTTAATTTCTAAAGTTATGCTAGCTACAAAACATAATAACAAGTTGCAACTTAATATTGCATATGCATACACTGGTGAGTAAAAAAAAGAATATATCTTTAGCCTACTGCCAAACTTTTATTCTTGCTCATAGTTTTAGTATAAATTAGTATATATATGTATATTCAAAATTACTAGTATATGAGATATTATTGAAATCCACTACCTTTTAAGTGTGTAATATTATAAATAAATTGGCCAAAATATATTGTTAACATTTAAAATAATATTTTCTTTCTAATTACATAGCTAATTAGCAAATCAATTAATTATATTATTGTCAGCCAATTTATGTATTAATTTTATTGACAATTTATGTATTATTTTTAATTGAGTCATTGTTACTTAAATGGAACAATAATAATAATTTCTGATTTTTCGTCAATAAAGCAAGAGTGTTATCAAAATGATTAGATAACTTTTTGGTCTAACATAGCTTAACATAGAATATTAAAAAATACAGATATTAAGCGATTTTTAGTTTATAAACTACATACTCCCGATGTTTTGGTTACTTTACAGTAACCGTGATTTAAATGAGTACTCGCTAAAATCTTAGTTGTCAAATATAGATATTTTATTTATTTAAATGAAACTAATATTTTCGGATAATAGTGCGTATTTTATTATTTTTAAAAACAACATACTCTCGACGTTTCGGTTACTTTGCAGCGACTGTTATTACGGGCAGACGAGATGTAAATTTAGATTTGAGATGTGAATGCGCCAGTAGATAATAAAATACGTAGTACATAATCCGTAAAATATTAGTTTCAATTCAATAAATACTCGCGAAAGTTTTAGATCTCATAATTTAATTTATTTACATATTTCAAAATAACATCTTAATATTCCATATATGTATTAATTTTGTTTTGTTCTCTATTTGTATGTTAAATGTTCATTGTAAATGATTACAGGTCGCGATGAAATTAGTCGAGCAGCTTCTCATATAGTGGATGGTTTAAAACAAAAAGAAATATCGCCGGATGATGTCAATGAACATTTGATGTCGCAGGCATTAGATCTCGGGGAGCCAGATCTTTTAGTTCGTACTTCTGGAGAGGTTCGGCTATCGGATTTTATGTTGTGGCAGGTAAATTAAACTAAATAATATTAAAAATGAGGTTAGTTTGTATGGATGTTCGTTTATCTCTTATGTAAAATCCACTAAATAGGTTTTAATAATATAGTTCAAAGACAGACTAAGGTTTACGGCTCAAAAGTTGTTGTCCAAAAATGAAACTAATATTTTCGGATTACTACGCGTTGTTTTACTATCGGAAATCAAGATCTGCCCGTGATCATGGTTGCTGCAAAGTAGCTGAGATATCGGGAATAGGTATTTTTTTTTTTAAATTATAAAATAACACGTAGTAATCTGAAAATATTAGTTTCATTTTCTGTCTTAGATCTTATTTGTTATGCAAAAGTTATATAATACCTACTCGTGATTTCCCTATTGAATAGTCAGCAAATCTATCGTCTTAACACACACCATACATTTCTCTCTGAGCCCAAAAAGTAATGGGGTAATACTAAGTATTTTTTCTCAGATATCAAACACCGTACTGTACTTCACCAATGTATTATGGCCAGAATTCTCCATATGGAATCTATTAGCAGCCATTATACACTTCCAAAGACATTCACCCCCAATAATTGAGGAAAAGGAAAATTCTCCTGTTATAGAGAAATTCTTGAAAAAGCTGGAAGATACAAAATGGCAACAATTAGAGAAAATTGTTGCCTGTTAAAAAAAATATAACAAAAAACCTTTTTTTGAGTTTTAAAATTAGTTATACATTTTTAAATTATGAATATTCCATTTAAAAAATATGCTCATTTATTTATAGAATAAAATGTAAATATATTATTTATTTTATCCTTGAAAATGTATCCTGTTATGTTTAATGTATATGGTAAGGAAAAAAGTAAAAGTGTAAATTTGTACAATAAAAATTTATTTAAATATTAAAGCTATTTATTGCTTGATAATGTTTGTAAAGTTTCTATTTTCCTTTAACAGTATATTTAGAGTATGTCTTAGTTGGATCGTAAGGTTCCCATCTTGATGCTGGGAATATATGTTTGTTTCTTTCATACCAGGACCTGAGAGTGTAAAATATTGTATATAAATAAGCATATATATATAATATAGACAGAGACAAAACCTCTTAGCATTCCATGTATTCACCGTGCAGTTGCCAAGGCCATCATTGCAGGGAGAGGAGCTTCAACAGTGACTGGGACTTGCAACCCAGGTGTAGGTTCTAAGGAACCCCATATCTAAAGAGCGTTATACGCTCACCTCCATTGTCCAAGCTCCTCTCTCTACCTCTAACCCAATTTGAAAAGAACCTACTAGGGCATATATCCTGTGATATTTTAATGTATATTTAATTAACTTTTTTTCAATGTTACAAACCTTAATAGTACTTTTCCTGCATGAGAGTCTTGTTTTTCTTGTGTAGCGTCATTAACTAATCTTATATCATCGGATGCATCGAATTGGAATAATGGACCGCTTTTACCTCTAGCCTAAAATATAACAAAAATTAGTCAGTGAAAACATAAAAGAACAATAACCAAAAATTAAAATAAATAAATATAACATACCTTTGTAACTATAAAATCATAAAATGTGTAATGGTGTGGCAATATCAAATCCTCTTTGACATACATGAGTTGGTCAGCGGATACTGTTTTCAATTCGCTAAACTCTGGTCTCAATGTATCCAAGCATCTTTGTAGGAATTGATAGATTGAATTTCCTAAAAAAAAATGATTTATATTTTTTCCTTAGGGTTAACATACGCAAGTTTTGTTTGAAGAGCCAACAACATAATACAGATTAAATTAAAAAAAACATTGCATCTATTATGTATCTCATGTCATGTCATCAGCCTATCAGAGCCCACTGCTGAGCTGCCTCTTCTCACATGGAGAAGGTTTGAGTATTAATCACCACGCTTGCTCAAGACGGGTTGGTGATTTCAAACTTATAATTGTGAAGGTTTCCTCACGATGTTTTCCTTCACTGTATGTATACATTACCTTTTTTTAAAGTAACATTACGCCTATGTCCCGAACCGTCCCAATAGCTGAATGTTACAGTGATTGGTTCATCTTTGAGACTTGCTTGGGTCATGACCCACTCTAGCCTTAATTCCTCTCTCAATTTCAGGTCAGCCTCCTCCCTTTCTCTGTCAGGTAAAAATGATGTATCTACATCTGGATTCTTTTTTATTTTTTTACATACCTGCAATATGTTCTTTTAATAATTAATTACTTTATGTATTTAACTTTTGTACCTTTTCTATTGAAGGTATGATAATGTTAGAAATATTATTTTTTCAGACATGGATTTATGTACAAAAAGGTTTATACAAAATATTTATACAAAAAAGATGATAATTAATAGTTTTATATAATATCTAGGAATAATAATATACCGTCTCTTCCTGTTCTTTCCATGGAGTTTCTTCTTCAGCATCGTCATCATCATCTCCTTCATTGAAGTCAAATGAAAGTGCTTGAATCTAAAGTAAAATACTTATACATCAATCAGAGATTATTTTCAGTAAATATACTAATTGAATGTAAACATTTTCAAAATTAAATAAGAAGTATGTGTTTGTAACATTTTCATTTTGTTCCAAATCTGCCAATTGTTTTATATTTACCTGTCGTTTTTGCTTATTCTTTTGAGATTGTTTTGCTTCTATTTCTTTCTGTCGTTCTTTTTCCTTTTCGGCCTTTTTTTGGGCAAGCTTTTTCTCTCGTTCTCGTACTATATGTTCTTGTTTTGCTTTCATTTCATCCAAAGTTACGAGACCTATAGTTGAGCTTTTTAATTGTTGTTCCACTTCATCGTAATGAGTTGCGAACTTATTTTCAATATTATCAATCTTGAGATCTTCTTCTATTTTCTTTTTTCTCAGTTCTATTTCCTGTTGAGCTTTTTCTCTTTTCTTCATGAGATGCATGGCTCTGCCAGCCTCGGACGCTGCACCCTTGTAGTGAGCCATTCTTGAACTGTGTAAAGTTTACTTATACTTTAAAAATAAATGTTAATCTTTTCACTTTCTGTAACAGTAGTTTCTAGAATAAAAGTCGCAGGCTTTAGTATTTATTGACAGTTACAAACAATCGTAACTAATTCTATGACCTACGATTTGTGAGACCTCTGATTACTGACCGATTGTCAATTGTCATTGTCATTTGAATGGTGTCTGTCGCATTCTTTCCATTTTGATTTTTGTTAATGGAAGATTCAGGTGAAAAAAAGTCTAAATCTGCTTTTTTCTAATTTAAAAAAAAAATCAATTTTAGTTTTCAAAATACATATAACATAGATGTTGAAAAGTATAGGTGAACACTAGTCTGAAAATTTTACGTTGTAACTAACAACGATACATATCAATTTCAAAATGTCACTATGACAAATCAAACGACAGCAGTTAATGTATTTAATTTAAACACATATTTGCATTGTGCCCTCAGTTCTGACAAAGTCACACCTTTTTCTGAAAGTAAAGAACTTATTGTTATTTATTTTAAAACTATCGATATAATTATTTAATATGGACGAAACTGTAATATTTCCGTCGCCAAATTGGTTCCAAGTATCTGTAATAGCGATTTCTCATGATGGATGGCTTATTTATGGCGGGCCCATAAAAAGCCTTTGTATCTTGGAGCCGTTACATTCTGAAGACGATGGAGTTTTCAAACACAATCAATCTTATAGAGCTCATGTGGTGAATAAAGCACATTTAGAAAAGTAAGTTTTGTTGCTGCCCTCTTTTAAACATATTACTTCGGAAATTAACATACCTGTCTAAATTAAACTAATATTTTTCGGATGTACTACGTGACTTTATTTTTAATAAAGAAAACTACATGCTCCCGACGTTACAGATACTTTTCAGCAACCGTGATCGCTGGCAGACGAAATGTGTTTAGTACCCACATCCGAAAAATATTAGTTTCATTTAAATGAAAAAGATTCGAAAAAACTCAGATTAATATACTTTTTTTATAGGATCACAAGTGTGGACATTTCAAAGGAATGGCCAGAAAAGAAATTAGTCTTAACTGGGAGTGCTGATGGGTCTGTAAAGCAGTGGAACTTAGAAAATTTTAAGAACTCCTATAGAGTTAAATCTACCCTCAGTCACGAAATTCATTATAATGATAAAGAGGTGTGTCCTATTAGTTGTATAATCCCTTACATTTGTCTTATTTAATTCATTGAAAAGAAAATTAAATTACATTAGCTATCTAGAGAACTTCCTTTATAAATTACCTAGTAACATCTTCTTCTACCTGGCAATTTCCCAGCTTTAGCCAGGGTCTGCCTATTACCTAGTAACTTGTCATCATGTATTATCTCATATACAAAATTCTTTTGTCCCGGTGTTAGACAGAGAACTCCTCCGAAACGGCTGAACCGATTTTGATGAAATTTTGTCAGCACATTGAGTAGATCTGAGAATCTAGAGTAGGTCAACATCTATTTTTCATACCCCTAAGTATTAAGGGTTGCTCACCCTTAACTTTTATTTTTTATTATCGGACGAAATTTTTTGTTTTTAATTTTTTATAATGTCGCATCAAAAAATACATACAACCCAAACTTTTACTTTTTTATCACGAACCCCTATTTTTTTTATGCCAAAACAACAGTTGCCAGGTCAGCTTGTAAATATATATTATTATATAAACATGTGACCTTAAAATTTTATTTTATGTTATTGTAATTTACTAATGGTATTTTTATGTTGATTATAGGATATAGCCGGTCTAGGTTATAGTACCGATGTGTTTGCTATCACAGTGGGAGGCTTCGGTAACATAGTCAAATGGGATTTGAAATCCAATGTTGTTAAGACTTATAATCAATTTTTAAAGAGCTTCAAGCCGACATGTGTTGCGTGTTCACAGCACATACCATTAAATGTTGCCGTCGGAACAAAACAGGGTGTTGTGTTTGTTTTAGATTTAAATGGTAAGTTAAAAATATAATTAATGTTTTTTTTCTTTGAATTATTTTTTATTACTTGTGGATGGTTGTAGAGAAAAAAAGTTTAGTAAATATTACCATATAATTATAATTTACAATATTTTTTTTGTATATGTAAATTATGTATAAATTAAATTGAGGACTTTTATTTCAGGGAATGGCAAAATTGTTTTTAAGGTAAGGGGTCAGGATGATGAGATAATCAACTTGTCATGGTGTCCACAATATGAAGTGATACTTAAAAAGACCCTTAAAGAATCACAAAATCGTATACATCTAGAAAGTAAATTAGATAAATTGAAATTGAAGGATGATGAAGATGATTTAAATAATTCAGGAATATTAAAGAACCTTCCAGAAGACAGCTTCGATGAAACCATTGCGCAAGAAGATGATATGTTTGATATATACAAAGATCATGAAGCAGATGAATTTGGTCATAAAAAGTTTCAACCAACCGATATCATAGTCAAGATGAAAAAAGAAACACCTCCCAGTGACTTCTTGGCTGACTGTTTGAAACTTAAGGAGGAAATTATAAATAAAAAAAATGTTCAGGAATCTTCAATAGCAAGCCTAGTTGATGCATTGGATAAGACGCACGTTGAAAGTAATGATTCCGGGGAAAATAAAACAAATGTTCATGAAATACAAACCAATGAGAATGAATTGAATAAAACAGAAAATGCAGCTGAAGTTATAGAAGAAACACAATCTAATAATGTAGAAGAATCTAGTTCTCATTTGCACAAACATCTTTTAGCTACAATCGGAAAATATGGGTTAGTTAAAAATCTTACTAAAACGAGAATTGTATAAACGTTTATTAATTTATGGCAGTATTTGAATTTTTTCTGAATGGGAGAAAGTAATGCCTATTACGAAAAATATATTTATTGAAAATTAACTTTTGTTTATTATTTTCAGGGGCGTAAGGCTATGGTCAAAATCAGGAAAACTTGTAGGATCTTGCGTTGTACCAAACGCTGTGAACAAAAATCACAGAAGTAAAGGTCCCATAGCAACAACATTATTATGGTACAAGCCTGATGTATTGCTCATTGCTGATGGAAAAAGTCAATTGCTTGAGTGCAATCCTATGAAGATAGATTGGTAACTTCTTAAATTAAACTTGATATTATGTAAAATTAATGGTAGAATTATAACAATGTTTGTTGCTCAATACTGATTAGCATCGATTTGGCTTTATGAAATTTATTCTTGGATAAACTTTGATGAAATCCCTACTGATATTATAAATGGGAAAGTAAGTTGGTCTGTCTGTCTGTCTGTTGCGCTTTCACGCCTAAGCCACTGAACTGATTTTAATGAAATTTGGTACAGAGATAGAGTTGACCTTGAGAAAAATCATAAGATAGTTTTTATTCTAGACATTTGAAAGTTTCTCTTGGAAACGCGATATAACCGAACTCCACGCGGGCGAAGCTGCGTGTGGAAAGCAAGTTATTTCATATTACTACATAACGTGAATTGATATTGATATTTCAGTAGGAAGAAACTGGATTGGCAGATAGTCCACTCGTTACACAAACGTGGTTTATATGCTATCGCAACTAATGCGCCTCGTGTGCAAACAGAAAATTCGAACGGTTCAGATAATTGGCTAGTTTGGACGATCGCGCAAGATCGTAACATCGTTTGTTATTCTATGGAAAGAAAGGAAAAGATATCCGTACACAACACCTTTGGGGGTTTTGTGTACTCTATACAAAATTGTCCTTACGATGCTAAAAAGTGAGTAATATATATCATTTTATTTTCTTTTAGAAAGACAAAGACAAAAAAGAAACACTAATGTATATGTACATGTAATATATTTTTTTATGATTCCAGGCTAGCAATAGGCGTAGCTGATGGCGCTGTACGTGTTTGGCACACGGATACACTTGTAGAAGATGAAAGCAAATTGTCTACCGGTCATGTGACTTCATACTGGCAGAACGTTCAAGGCAAGGTGTTGACAATTGCATGGCATCCCACAAAAGAAAATTTACTTGCCTTTGGTACCGCTGAAGCTAGGGTGGGTAGATTTATAATATTAAATTGTTTAAAACAATTGTTCATACATTCTGTTGCATACCCAAACAGTATTACCTAATAAAATTTCTATACCAAGAGATTTTAAAGACGAGACGAAACCTCTTAGTATTCAATGGATTCACCGTGCGGGTACTGGGTCTATTGATTTGCAAAGAGAGAGGAGCTTCAACAGTGCTTGAGACTTGCAACCCAGGTGTAGGTTTAAGAGGCCCCTATCTAATGCGAGTTAAACGCTCACCTCCACCGTCTAAGCTCCTCTCTCTACCTAATTAAATTTGAAAAGAATCTACACTTAAAGAACTGTTTGACTATTTATAAAATTAGTAGATAGACACATTATAATATATACATATACTAGCTGCGCCTCGCGGTGTTACACCTTGATTATCAATTATGTGTTATTCCTGGACGTCAGCTTCCTGTATACAAAATTTTATCGAAATCGGTTCAGCCGTTTGAGCGTGAAGAAGTAACAAACATACGCACCCACTCACAAACTTTCGCAATTATAATATTAGTAGGATATTAGGTAAATAATGTTAACAATAATATTAAAGGTGGGTTTGATTGATACAAGTGGTAAGACAGAGCGTCCGGCCAAAACATTACTTCCAGTATTACAAGGAGGAGTGTATTCTTTGTGTTGGGGACCAAATGATCAACTTTACGCCTGCGGTGGAGGAAAACTTGTTGTATATAATACAGATGCCATTGATAAAGGTGCGTAGAATTACCCAAGTATACACGTTCCTTAAATTTTAATTTTTTTGCACAGACTATATGCAATTAATTTAACAGACTATATCCAATTAATTATAGACTATAAGCCCATTGAATCCTTATTGACAAAAGCTAGATTTTATTTTCTAAAATTGTTGACCTGCTATCTTTTTATGTGTGAAAGCTTAATCAATTTACATAATATTTAAATTTCAAGTGAATAGAATGAAAAAAAAATTGTCACTGTATATACAATACTTTATTATTTTACAGATCCGATGCCAATAAAAATCGAGTTTGAAGGAAAGCAATGGGAATTGAGTTCAGTATTGTCTCATGCCCGAGGCCTAGTGATTGGTGGAGTTAATGGAGGTTTGGCTGTGTTAGATCCTGACACAAACGAACTCATCACTGCTTCTTTTATATTCGGGTATAAAAAGTCATTTTCATATAAGAAAAAAGCCATTATGAAAATATTGAAGTAGGATTCAAACTTCTAACCTTCTAAATGTCAAAATAAATATATTAAATTAAAAATTTCAAAATGACTTACCATACATACACTTGAGTTGCAGAATTCATATACAATTTTAACATTACATCAGTACGGTGTTGTCATCTTGTATGTTTTTTTGAAGTTATAGGGAAAAAATCAAATGTATTCTAGGATATTAATTCGTTAAATTAATGATGTTAATTATATGTTTCAGCAAAATGATATACACTATAGAATGGCACCCACAACAGACATCTGCATCCAGCGAGGATTCTATGTATAAAGATTTAATAGCTGTTTCATCTCATGATAAGTCATGCAGTATTATAATCGTGGAGTACAATGACAAAGGAGGTTTGATATATATCATATATTAAGATAGCGTAATTTTTTTCAGCCTAAAATATGAAAATAATTTCAATATATATATTCTATTAAAAGTTATAGGATGAACAAAATTTTGCGTTCATATTTTATGTCACGTTTTATTCTATAACGTTCTACAAATGATCTTGTGGTTGTTGAAAATTAGAAAAAATGTGTAAAATCTTGTGAAAATTATGTTCATTACAGATTTCTTAATTTTTTTCTGTGTCTTTGGCATATATAGCGCAAAGGAACATAAAAAAGTTCTTAAAATTTATATCTTTTCCAGACGGTCCTAAAATAAAGTTGTGGAAAACTTTGTCTGGTCACAAGGCAACAGTTCTACAACTATCTTGGAACCCACACAATGATGTACAGCTATTGTCAACCTCACATGATACTACAGTTAGAGTAAGTCCATACAAGTTACAAGTACAGTAACTTACTACCTAACTCTTCATAATTTTATCCTCTATAACAATAAACACCCTGTAACATTGATTTGAAACCAACTTGGTTGGTTTGTGTTAAAACCCATATATTAAAACACTCTATATAGCGATACGCCATTCTATCAAGAATGTGTTCATATTTTTAGACAGTAAATATTTATTATCGGTATTCGGTAACTCCACAAGCCCTAGATGCCGCTAGGTTATACATACATAAAATAATACAAAACAAGTACTGACATAGAAAAAACTGTCAGATAAAATTATCATACGAGATGAGATACGAGAATTCGATAATAAGCTTTGTTAAATGTTCAAAGTAATTTGTTTTTTTCAGATCTGGGATATATCATCTGGTGTATGTACTCATATATTCGGAGGTCATTCCCAAGCCTCGCTCAGTGCCTGTTGGAGTCCATTTCCATCACTTTCAACAACAGTAATGTCTAGTGGGTCAGATTGTTGTTTGAGATTGTGGAACATGGACAGACATACAGCAGATCTTTATACTGGTAATTATCTTGGTGTATTCAATATATTTATATCTGATTTTTTTTTTGTATACGAAAAAGAATATAAGAAACAAAGTATTGATTTGTCAAATCTTTCATAAAAATGCTATTGTCCTATGGTTTTAAATTTCGCCGTGATATGAAACTTGAATTTCTTATTTTTTGGATCATCAAAAATAAAAATAATTTCTTTCTTTCGTGTATGGATTGAAAAATATTTAAACTTAAGTATCTTATGGAGTAGTTAGATTTAAAAAAATAAATAAACTGCTTTTTCTATTTTGCAATATCTCAAAGAATAATGTTTTTGCAAGAAATTTGGACCACCCCTTAAAACATTGATATATTTCTTTTTTTCTTAATTTTTCCATTAGTGTATGTTCTACTTCTTGTACAGTAATTTTCTACCAGTTGTAAATGTTTAAAAATGTTTCAGAAATACATCGTGAAGTGGCTCCGCGGGCCCAGAAAAAGAATAAGACTGAAAAGGCTGAAATTCAAGAAATAGAAAAAGGTGATGAACAAGTGGCTACCACCTTTGATAGTAAAACATCAACTAAAGCACCGAAGAAATTCCTCTTACCTGTAATAAGTAAACAAATATCGCCATGCACTGTGTACAGTGTAAGACAAATGGTAGTCAAATATCAAAATAACACCAACAAAAAGGCGGGTAACGGCCAACATGAACCAAAGGAAATCGACGAAGGTAACAAGGGAGAGGAAAAAATTGTTGAATTTACAAAGATCTTCGGCACAACGAATGATTTGAACGAAGTCTTGGACATGGAAAGTAAGAAATATTCTGTACAGAATTAAGCTTCATATACAATACTGTACTGTACTGTGTGCCTAGTTCAACCTTGAATACTTTTCTCATAGAAAAATCTACGTCAATTTCATACTATGCTAATCAGACACTGTTAATTCTCAATGTTCCAGTGGCTCGTCACTCAACATGTAACCGTTGGGAGTCGTGTGTTATACTGGACGTGCTCCGCGGTCAGATGTCCGATATGATGACGTCAGCGGCCGCCCGCGGGCAGCTCTGCCCGTTCATAGTGAGCCTCGCGCCCACCGTCTCTCACAAGTGAGTAGCTAGAACACTCACACATACATACATATCTAATACAAACACATACTACCTCGAAAACTCATACATATTATAAATACATAATGCTTATTCCAAGTTTGCATACGAAGCATGGCCGGCATATTTTATACATAGTATAAAGGAAGATTATCTATTTATAGAGAACATATTATGCGAAGGGATGAATGTCATATAACAAGAAGAATATTAAATATGAATGTGGAGGGATATGTGGGTTAAGGTAGCCCTAAGAAAAGATGGATGGATTTTGTGAAGGATGATATGGTTATTTTTGTTACCAAGTAAACTTTCTATATTCATACCTAATAATAAGTTACTGACTCATTAATTAAACATAATAATAATTTTCATTATATTTTTTCTAGATTTTGGAAAGATGCAACTCAAATGTATTTGGCTCAAATCGATAGAATGATCGCTAAAGGAGAGGAGGAGAAGCTAAGCGGTAATGAAATTATTTAAAGGAACTTTATAAACTACAGGGTGACTGGTGAATTACTATCAATATTTTAGGAGAATACTCGGTCCATGATTCTCATTCGAATTATGTAAAAAAAATAGGCACAATTTTTGACAAAATTTCCGTATAAATAAATAAAGTGTTGACACGTTCCAAGTGTTCCAAGTGTGGACGCGTGCGGCGGCGTGCTGATACAACACCACGCCGCCACACGCGTATGTGTGTGTGTGTGTGTATACCTAATCTGTAGGGTGTTCACACGATGCGTAATTAATTACATAACTTTTGGTTAACTTTACTTAGAAGTTTATTAATATTTATGTTATATTAATTTTTATTTTGTCATATATGATCGTCAAATATCACGTCCTCAAGTATCGATAGTAATTCACCAGTCACCCTGTATACATTTGATTTACTTAACTCATAAATACAAAGAATCGAAATATATTAAGTATTCAATCCTACTAATATTATAATTGCGAAAATTTGTGAGTGTGTGTGTATGTTTGTTACTTCTTCACGCTCAAAGGGCTGAACCGATTTTGATAAAATTTTGTATACAGTAAGCTGACGTTCAGGAATAACACATAGGCTACTTTACATCCCGGAAATCTCGGAAATCTGCGAGTAATGCGGGGCGCAGCTAGTATGAAATATAATTATTATGTTTATAGAGAACAAACAGTATGGTGGTGCCATCTACCGTAAGATGTGTCTTCAGTTGTGTTCACACGACGTCCGAGCGGCCGTTCAAACACTCGTAGATGCGAGACTGTTTAAGGAAGCTTACATATTGGCGAGGGTCAGGTATATGACATTAAAATTTGATAGAAAAAAGTTCTACAGACAGTTTATTATTTTTATTATAGAATTCATTTGAAAATATTCATCCCTACTAATATTATAAATGCGAAAGTAACTCTGTCCGTCTGTCTGTTACGCTTTCATGCCTAAACAACTGAACTGATTTTAATGAAATTTAGTACAGAGATAGAGTTGACCTTGTGAAAGAACATAGAATAGTTTTTATAACAGACTTGAAAGGTTCTCTTGAAATCGCGATGTAACCGAACTCCACGCGGGCGAAGCTGCGGGTGGAAAGCTAGTTTGCCATAAATTTTACTTTATCTTAATCTCATAGGCAATGACTATGTAAAGATCCGTCAAAATCTCGTAGCGGTTGTTGAAAATAAATTCTCTACATTCATCAATGTGTCTGTCTTAAATTTTTATCTAATTTAATAATGACTATCTTTGTTTGAAAGTTTTTCAACCTATATATATTATTATATATTTTTTTAACGTATAGAAAAAGAATGATTAGTGTAGTAGAAAATCCGATTAACATGTGTAATTATTTAATTGAGATAATCTTAAATCCCAGGCATATGGACAGCATCGCTGAGGACACGTTAAAGAAATGGGCAACTGATTGTTTACAAACTGGCAACATTTGCATGGCTGCAGTGTGGTAAGTTTATTCAAAACTTTCAAGAATCAATCTGAATAAATAACTTTGTTATATCAAAATTTATTAATATTCTTGTATTAAATCAATTTAAATTGCTTTACAGTTATTTAGCGTTAGGCGATCCATACCAAGCCGCTTTGGCCTTGTCTAAATCGAACGATCAAGAATTACTCAGCATAGCGTCGGAGCTAGCAAAGGAATCTGGACAACCAACATTCGCTAATCATATAGAAGATAAGAAAACACAAATATTAAGCGAAACTACAGATAATGATGAACAACTAAAGGAACTGCCAACAAAAATTGAACTACTGATCGATAGTGTTGGCATTAGTGAAGTTACATCGGATGTGATATGAAAACTAGTGATGTTAATTTATCGATATTGTGCGGTAATTTTTAAAATTAATCCGAAGTCTGTGAATTTGTGTGATATAATAATAATTGTGTCGCCCGATATGTACGTTATTTATCTTAATTCTTAACGTTTATGATGTCTTGTAAGTTGTTGTTGAGTTTAATTTTTTAATAATTATATATTTGGTAAGAAATCTCATAAGAAGCATTAAAAATGTTGTACCAAACAGGTTTTTTTTTGAGAATTCCTTTTTATATTGTATTTCTGAATTATTCTTATTATTGGGATCAAATATTTTTTAAAACACAGAAGTTCTAATATGAAATTTTCTTTTTGAACTAAATAGGTATGTTGTTCAGAAAATTAATGTCTAGTACCTAAAATAAAATATATATTTTTTAATAATGATTAATTTATTCTATTTTCCTCAAAATATTTGTAGTAGTAAAGAAAAATCTATTCTGTATACAATACAGAATTGATTTTTCTTTACTGCAAGATAGTTTGGTGATTTTTGTCGAGAAATCATGATTTTAAATAATACTAGCTGACCCGGCAGACTTCGCACTGCCTCAATCAATAAATAAATATTTTTTTATTTATATTTTTGGAGTTTACCTGTTAAAGCCATAAATCTCCGTGTTCAGAAGTGCGACAGAATAATTGACATATTAGTTAGTTGTCAAATCTAATGTCAAAAAAAGTTTGTATGGGAAATAGAAAAGGGCTGTTTTTAGGGTTTTCTCGGAAATGAATAAATTTTTTCAGCTTTTAAACCTTCCCTGAACCTCCATGAACATTTCATTTTTCACAGCAATTCATTTTTATATATATATAGATAGATAGAAGGTAGATATTATTATATTGACCTTAGGATACAAGACGAAACCTTAGCATTCAATGTATTCACCGTGCGGGTGCCGGGTCCATCGCGTTGCAGGGAGAGGAGCTTCAACAGTGCCTGGGACTTGTGACCCAGGTGTAGGTTTAAGGGGCCCCTTAATCTAACGCGCGTTAACCGCTCACCTCCACCGTCCAAGCTCCTCCTCTCTACCTTACCAAATTTGAAAAAAAAAACTACTAGGTATCTACTACTTCGAATTACGTTCCAACTTTTTAAGGGCCTTTAGTTATTATAGAAAACTTGAATTTTGTGCAATATGACGCGATTATATCACTAAGGGTGGAAAGTTGTACCATTTTAGCGCAAATAGCATTAATTCGTGTTGTATCGACCCGAACGCGTTCTCTAAGTCTAACCAACAATCTGTGATAATTTGCCGCGCGCTTTATAAGTATCTTTAAAACTCTCTGACAGCAAAAACCGTTTCTGATAATTTGGCCTAAAATACTTCGCGTCATTCTCGTTTGTAGGACCGAGAAAAAGATATTCGATATGGTATTTGTTAAGGCTATCGGTCTAGTATCTTTCGGATCAGTAACTCGGTATTTTTTGGGAATGATGTGAAAATTGCTTTTCCGAAGCAATCCGGGATTTGCTTCCTTAATCAGATCTTATCGTAGGTCAATATACTTCTATGTTTACGAATGATGGACATTTTAAAAAAAATATGTAATATGGGATCCCATCGGGTCCCGGTGCAGATTTAGACGATTTCTTCTTTATCTGAAAACTTATTTCTTCTAGCGTTGGTGGAAATCGATACGAGAAATTTCACGTTTAGGCACTTCATATTTGCTCTTAAAATTGTCTTAAATTTGTTCGTTGGTCAAGAGAAGCTGTCCACGTTCTTTCTTAAATATGGTTTTCGAATAGTCAAAAGGGTTATTATCAAAATCTACTTCCTGTTTTGCCCGGTCTAAATTATCACGATAGTCTGTAGTTTGTGCCGATATTCCTTGAATTCATTTTAGAATTCACCTTAAGGCTCTAGCTAGTTTATGACTAAGGACTATACAATACAAATATATACGCTTGTATACTACACAAATTCCTTTAAATAAGACGAAATAAAACGAATTCAAATAGTCATTCAATCATTTTAATAGTAATATTAATGGCAGGCATCAAATACAATTATACAACATAAAATACCTCTAATATTACTCTATCATCTTTTTCGAATATTATTAAAATCGCGTGCTTGTAATTTGTGCATAAATTAGTAAAGCAAGTTATTCCCAAACTTATTTTTATACAAGCTAAGTAAAATAGATAAAATTATAGAAAAATATTTTAGGAACGCTTTCCATCTTGGACGTCATTATATGAACTTTAAATATAGAATAACATAATTATATTGAATTCTATTTAATACAAATAATAGTGACATCATTCAGTTAAGTACAGTGATGCTTCATTTTGAATGAAACAATAATTATTATTAGATACAATGATGGCAACCCGTCAATTTTATATATATTTTAATATTTATAAAAGCTCTCTTATTCCCAACAAATGTTTAACAATTTAGTATTCGTTGTATTCGGTAATAAAATAAATGCTTCTGGAATGTTCTATTTCCTCCAATAATTAAAAAAAATACTGTTAATTGGTTTGTGTATGATGAAACAAAATTAAATAAATTAAAAAGACCTGCTTCCATAATAATATAGTTAGTGTAACAATGAATCAAGTTATTTCTTCACATTTTGTTGTGTAGGGTCCTCATTCTCTCTGTTTGAGTCTATTGATTTTCCTCGTTTCTTGCAGAGTGTCACAAGTTTCGCATTCATTTTCTTCAGTTTTTGATTTTCTTTCATAACATCTGAGAGTTGTTGGTTCTGAAATATGTAAACATACATTATCAATATAATATTATAAATGCGAAAGTAACTCTGTCTGTCTGTCTGTCTGTCTGTCTGCTACGCTTTCACGCCTAAACCACTGAACTGATTTTAATGAAATTCGGTACAGAGATAGAGTTGACCTTGAGAAAGAACATAGGATAGTTTTTATCCCAGACTTTTGAAAGGTTCTCTTGGAAACGCGATATAACCGAACTCCACGCGGCGAAGCTGCGGGCGGAAAGCTAGTTATCAATAAAAAGTTAGTAGAATTATGTTATTCAATTAAAAATATTTTTCTAAGACTGCTCAAGACTAAATACTTAAGGTATTTTATAGCTGTATAAGCATTTTGATTACTTATCTATAGTGTGACATAATAAAGAAATAAATATGTATATATAAAATTATGAATTACATACTTGTACAATAGCACTTCCAGTGGCCACATATTGTGTTCCAACAGATGCTATCTGCTGCTCCAATGAACTCTTCTGTTGAGACAGTTTTTCAACAACCTGATAATAAAAATAGAAAACTGTTATTATTACTTAATTATTGAATAAATATAATAATCTCTCAGTGCACCCTCATAAAAATTATTAGACTTTATATTCAAGCCCGCTTACATGAATAAAAGAGATTCTTTCATTTTTCTACTGTTTTGCTTATCGTGGAAGAGACGCGGGCATGACGTTTCTAGAATGTATTATAACATCCTTTACAATTGATATATTGAGACTTTATTACAAATTTTATTTCGACTAGAACGATATAAAAATAAATTATTAAAATAAGAATATTCACCATTTTAAGCCTCTTAATTTCTTTAGAATCTTCGACATTCAATTCGGAATTATCCTTCTCCACTTGGTAACTCAATAAATCTGTAACAGAAATTTGATCAAATCAACAATTCAGTAATGCAACCGTATTGACATTTAAAATAATGCAGGTAGATTTAAAGTCAACATTATTTTCGTACTTTTAAATAGAAAATAAAATATACTGACTATTATTATATCGCTACATAAAAGCTTGTTTGAAGCTAGGTTTATGTTATTTTTTATATAAATTTAATTAGTATATCATTGTCATCAGCCTATCAGAGCCCACTGCTGAGCAAAAGCCTCCTCTCACATGGAGAAGATTTAAGCATTAATCACTACACTTGCTCATTGCTAGCTGGTGATTTCAAACTTATAATTTGAAATTACAAATCCATGTTTCCTCGCGATGTTTTCCTTCACTGTGTGTCAGTGTGTCTAAATACTCTTAGAAAGTGCATATGACTTGGAAAAATGACATTGCTATTAGTCAGGTTTCGAACACAAGCCCTCATCATGAATGAGGCGGGCCTTTTTAAAAATTAGTATAATGTAATATAAATTTTTAAGTACCATCACTAGTTTCAGTAGCGACATCTATCCGTTGCGGCGTGAGTCTGTTTTGATCGTGTAGAGTTTGGCGTCGCTTACGTACAGACTGTACAATACTGGATTGTTGGTATTCTTCTAACTTGGCCTGTAAAGATCGATATAAAATATAGTCATCAATTAATTATATTTTTATCCTTATATATTGTTATATAATAATGAGAATACTGTCTACCCAAACAGAGTTTTAGAGATTAATTTTCAGTTCTTACTAAGCCTCTATGCGCTACAAAGGCTTTATATAATCCTACTAATATTATAATTGTGAAAGTTTGTGAGTGTGTGTGTGTATGTTTGTTACTTCTTCACGCTCAAACGGCTGAACCGATGTTGATAAAATTTTGTATACAGGAAGCTGACGTCCAGGAATAACACATATGCTACTTAACATCCCGGAAATCCGCGGGGCGCAGCTAGTAAGCTAATACAAGAAGTATTTTAATGTTAACTTCTTCCTACCTCCAAGGCAGCCTTAGCCTCCTTCAACTTCACACACTGTTGTTCTCTTTCTCGTAAATATTCGGCGCACGTTTCACATTCCTCGTCGAGTGCTTTGTAACTTTCTTTAAGTTCTTCCAACTCCCGCTTGCAGGCAGTTAGCTCGACTTTCATAGATTCAAACTCTTGGCTAAAATATGATTCATATTTAAATTCGTCACTTACATGAAGACATATTTTTTCTCTCGTAAATATAATTAGTATTATATGTATTTATCATTATTGTGCCTAATTATTTCATTTTATTTTTTGCGAGGCTATTTTTTCAGGCCAGGACTGAGTAAATATCATAAAACATTTTCCATGTGCAGATTTTAAGCACAATTCTGTTATTGAATACAAACTTTGTCAAGAAGTTTTTCAAAGTCATAATATTATTACCTGTCTTTACTTGTATTTCTTTCTAAGGCCTTCTGCATCTTGGTCATAGTATTCTTGAGATCTTGTTTCTTGTATCTCAATTCTTCAATAGTTTTCATCAACCTCTTGTTCTTTTCAACTTCAGCGTCGTAGGACATCCGATCCACAACCACTGAATGTAAATTCGTCCAATCTGGAAAATATATGACAAAATTTAGAACATATATACAGAGTTTTAAATTTTATCATAACTTTAATATTTTGTATATTGAGAAAATATTTAAATAGTACAAAAATGATAAATTACCATATGTTATTATTATTAAAGTAATAAATTACCTTCTTCAGTATTAACTGCAACATCTTTGAATGTGCTCTTAATATTCGTACTGTCGTTAGGAGTCATTGTTTTCATCTTATCTCTCAGTTCCATGATTGTTTTCTAGAACAAAAAAATAATGTTTACTTGCTTTTTATTTTAATAGGTTTTAAAAAATATTTTCTTTTATTTAATTATATAAGTAATCACAACAAATTCATGTCTCATCATCTAAGTCTAGAAAATATAAATATTAAATATACAGTAAGTTAAGATTTCAAAAACAAATGCCCTTTAGCAGTTGTTGAAGAGATTTTTGCTATTACTTCGACAAAATTTGGTATCAAAATTAAATAGACGAAATTTTGCAACCAGATATACAGGGTGACTGGTGAATTATTATCGATACTTGGGGACGTGATATTTGACGATCATATATGACAAAATAAAAATTAATAAATATTAATAAACTTCTAAGTAAAGTTAACCAAAAGTTATGTAATTAATTACGCATCGTGTGAACACCCTACAGATTAGGTATACACACACACACACACACACGCGTGCAGCGGCGTGGTGTTGTATCAATACGCCGCCGCACGCGTCCACACTTGGAACGTGTCCACACTTTATTTATTTATACGGAAATTTGGTCAAAAATTAAGTACCTATTTTTTTACATAATTCGAATGAGAATCATGTACCGAGTATTCTCCTTAAATATTGATAGTAATTCACCAGTCACCCTGTATATTGAGGATTTATTACAGTTACTACACTACCTCTAAAGCCGTCTTTTCCTTCTTAAGCCTGCCACACTGTTCGTCTCTCTCTCTCAGGTACGCGGCACAAATGTCGCACTCTTCATCAACCTCCTTGAATCTTTCACGCAATTCTTCCAACTCGCGCTGGCACAAAACCAACAACCGCTTAAAGTGAGCCGCTTCACTGAAAACATTTACATTTAATTATTAATGATAATATAATAAAATCAACAGTAAAGAAAGATGATTATATATTTGCATTTGTTTCAATTTTTCTTCGTTCATCTATTGAGTGTCGCATTACAGAGGATGTAATGTAGGGGAAGTGAAAAATTCTAAACCTACAATATGTTCCAATTAGGCAGCTAAAGTTCATATAGAAACACAAACTTAAACATTTTTAGTTGTATGTTTTGGTTTTCACATTATTCCCTTTTTAAATTGATACGGTTGACTTAGAACACAACATTTAATACTATAATAGGGGTAATTTTTTTTCTTTTATCCAAAACTATTTCTTGCAAAAATGATTCTATACACATATCAATTACTTTTAGGGTTAATTAAAATGTAACTAGTCATGCCTTACCTATCTAAACTCCCGGACGATTCGTGTGAATGATCTGCAACTAAAGGAAACATTTTATTAAAGTAATTCGCCTTTTTATTGTGACATCAAAAAGGTTTTATTCTTAATTGTAATAACAAAAATTAAATCTTAGGTAATTATCATACAGAGCTACATTCTCAAAATGGGAATATGACTACATATGAAAATTATCTATATATAACCAATTGCCAATAAATATAATTGTTAAGAATTCTGTATATAAGTATGCTATATATAATATAAGTGTATATACCATGTTGTTCATTATGTTGCACACTACGTTGAAGATCGTAAGCACTCTGCCGCCGTCGCCGGCTTGCTGCTACGCTGCTTGGACGGGAATGTTCTTCATTCGTATCACTCTGTAAATACACACAAATTTGAATTACTATTAGCACTATATCAATATATAGTTTTTCGTTTGATACATAATAAATTGATTATCAGAATGTAATATATTTCATTTACCTGGTCGTGTTTAGAGAGTAGACTGTCTCGTCTGTAAAACAAAACGTGAATAAACATCGTGACTAAAGTATCATAGTGGTTAATTTATTTCTAATTTATCTAATTTATGTGTACTCACCCTCTAATAAGTCTAATTGGTGTGCTTCTACTGGAGCTATCTTCATCAACATCCATAAACAAATCGTCCGGTTTTGATTTCGATTTGAACATTGCCTCGAGTTTATTATGATCTGAAATTTTGGTTGTTATAAAATGATGAGTTTGCAAAGTGGTTGATTGTGTGCAAATGACTCATATGTGGTTGTAAATGGTTTAATAAGACTAAGGATTACAATTACATATGAATACATACATTATTTCTATCTATATAAAATTATATATCAATAGTACGGAATTCATCATTATATACAAAATTTATTATTTTATGTCACATTTGTCGATAACATACCAAATTACAAGACAGGTAGTGTCAAAGTTATAAAACTTCTTCAGTAATTTATAACCTACGTCATCATTACAGAGTGTACATATACGTATACACAAATTGTGTATATGTATATATATGTATTAATTGACCTATTTTTATGCAAATTCCTATAAATTTGTGAGACTAAACATACTATTGAATATATACCTTCGATATCTTCAGAGAACATCCTCTTAGAGTCTTGAATGCTCTGCCGACGACGCCTTGTCGCTTCCGACACGCAGTCCATAGACGCTCTTGGCTTTGTTTCAATCGATTGTAGCTCCTTTATTTTCAACTAAAACATAATTTCAATTAATCATTTTATATGAAATGATTTGTTTTATGTAACAAAATATTTTCATAATATTCGCGTCTATCATGTATTAATTACCTCCAAAGTTTGCTTCAATTCTTTCAACTTTTGATTTTCTTCTTTGGACGTCTGTATTTCAGTGCTTAGTTTTTGATTTTCCTCTTCCAATGATTTATATTTTAACGTCATTTCTTCGATTTGTGTTTCCTTTTCAATGTTTGCTTTATCAATTTCAGCCTTTTGAGTTTGCAGCCTGTATAATAAACATTAATATCAGTAAACTAGTTTTTGTTGAACTACAGTAAAACAGTACTTACACGTAACATACCTATTGATAATTTTAGTTTGGATCGCCGCTGTTTTTTTCGTGGGTCTTAATATTATTTTCTAATCTCACACAGTTGGTACATTTTTCCTGCATTTGCTTTTTAAGAGACTCATTTTCTTCTAGCAACGTGTCGGATTTAAGATTCAAACTCTCAATGACACTAGCGCTTTCACGTACTGTTCGTTTCAAATATTCCATTTCCGTTGTCATTTTTTCAATATCAAGTACCTGGTCACATAATAATTTTTTAAGATTTTCCATTTCAACGGCGGATGTTTCCTTTTCTTTTAGAAGTATTTGGTTGACAGAACTCAGAACGTTTAATTCCTTTTGGCAAGTTTGTAAACTTTTGATCAATTCTAACTCTTTAGCTTGCTGTTGCGTGAAATGCTCGCTTTGTTTCTTCTCTAACGATTCAATAGTTTTTTCTTTATTAGAAACATTCTCTTTCAGTAGATTTACTTCTTCTGTTAATCTACTGATTGTGTTTGTGTTAATTTCGTTCTCTTTAACTTTCTGTTCGTATATCTGTTTTAAATCAGCGTGCAGTGAGACCTGATCTGCTATATTGTTTTCATATTCCAAGGCTTTTCTCTTCATCTCATCTGCCAGCGACTGCGTTTCTTTATCTTTCAGTTGAAGACTACTTCTTAAGTTTTCTAATTCCGTATCAACTTCAAGTTTGCGATCCGCCAATTCAGTGTTTAATACACTATTAAATAATTTGTCCAAAAATTGATCAATCGGTAGAGATGAATCAATTTCTTCTTTTATAATATTATCATCTAGCAGCCTGCGATAGTAATGAGATAATTGGTCCCTTAAATCTTTATCTTTTTTAATTATATCTATTGTAACTGCATTACTAATTTCAAACATTTTATCTTTTTGCCTCTGAAGCAAATCATAACTTGACTCTTTTTCAGTTAGCTGAGACTTTAAGGCTTGTAAATTTTCGTTAATAGTAATCGACTCAGCGATCATGCTTTGTATATGCTCCTTCAGTTGAGAAATTTCTTCCGCATTTTTCTTTAAATCCTTCTCATGGTTTTTATTGAGTTTATTTATGATAGCTTCAAAAGTTTCAGAACTAGTAAGTCCAAATTCCGTATCAACCACCTTTAAAACCGTATTCCTAAAAGCAACCATTGCTTCTTCAGTCTTTGGTTTATCATTTATCCCACTAATGTTATTTCGTACATCAGATACAACATGAGCAAATCTCTGCAAGTATCCATCCTTTTCTTTAAGCGCCTTCACTACACCAGATTGTTCGTTAACGAGTTTATTCATTCGTATCTGAAGATCACTTTTTTCTTCATCGAGATCTTTAAGTTTATTAAGCAAGTTTTCGACCTCATTTGCGTGTTTGATTGAAAAATCTTCAAACAACATCTTCATAACATCTATGATTTTATATTCAGAATTCAGACTTCCTATTTTAGCACCAGTTTTTTCGGAATAATAATTGAGACAGTCAGTCTTATCACAGAAGTATACGTCGACAACTTGCCCTTCAGTAACTTTGGATGCATCGAATTTATTTTCATTAGCATTCCCGTAATCTTTATTAAAGCTATACATGTGCGTGTCAATAATACTTTCATCCAAATCTAAATTTTGTGTCATTGATAAATTGCTATGTTCCAAGTGTTTCTTTATAGTGGTAACTTCTTCTTTTAATTCTATACAATCTTCTTTGCCTGCGTGCAATTCGTTCTGCAACGTGCATATTTTATTATATCTAGATGAACTATCTTGATCGCTATAACTTCTATCCAGCCTCGAATGTGTCTCGGCCGTTAGTATTCTATTTCGCAATGAATTTATCGTCTCCTCTTTTAAGGCACAGTTTTCACAAACAGTCTTATTTTGAAATTCTAAATCTACTGCTTTATTTAGACATTCCTCATTTATTTTTATGTTATCTCTTAAATTATCCTGTTCTTTCTTCAGAGCATCAATTTCCTCTATCTTTTCCATCACTTCATTAGATAAGCTGTCGTTTTCTTCTTGCAAAACGCTAAGCTTCTTATTAGCTTTATCAATTGTTATGTTAAGTTTCTCAATTTCATTGATACTAACCTGATATTTTTTTTCTATATCGGTCAACTTTCTTACTAAGGCATCACTAGATGGTATTTCCAAGGTCAGATTGTGATATTTTTCGGAAATTTCATCTTTTTCGCGTCCAAGATCGTTTAATCTCTTTGACAAAGCTTCGATTTCGTTCTTGTGTGATTCATTAGAGAGGCGTATGTCGTTCAAGTATTTATCACATTTTGGACATGCATCTTCCAGAATGTCCGGTATTTTGATAGGACTAGTGAGCGTTGTAACGAGAGCTTTCGATTTATTTTTAGTGAAATCGTCTACCAATTCCCGCAACTTATCGTTTTCATTCTTAAGCGATTCTAATGTTTCTGTAATTCTCTTCTCGTCTAACGGTTCCAAATCCATCTGAGGATATAATGAGGTTTTAGTCACTTCGTCAAAGCTTGTCTGACAGGCTACATCGCTCGAAATGCAAACTTGTGTTACATCGAAACACGTTTGATTATGTTCTGTCATAGTTGTGTCGCAAGTGGTTAGTGTTACATTAGTGTCTAACATGAGTAGATCATTATCTAAAGTGGACTCATTTTTGAATGTAGAGTGTAATGAGCTCGTGTCTAAAGCATTCGGTAGTGAGTATCGTTTAAAGCTATCGTTATGTTTCCCTAGGCATTCCGACTTTAGTAATACTAAAAGATCTTGTAACTGCCTTTTAAAAGCCGGTATGTCTTTTTGACAGACGTGGTGGAACCTATTATGTTGGTGTTGTAAGAACTTAACTTGGGAACTGAGTGATTTATTCTCGGCGTATGTTGTCGCGGTTAGTGTGGATAGAACGGTACGATGATTGAAAACACGTTTTTGCAATTCGTATGAATTTTCTGACAGTAACTGTACCTCTTTGTGAACTTCTTCCCTTTCTCTCAATAGCATATCGTTTTCGTTCTGTAGCCGGTCAATGGTAGCGTTTAATTTATGTTTCTCTGCAACTAGTTTGTCTACATCAGCTAATAGATCTTTGCACTGGCACTTGTCCGATTTGGTTTCATTGTAATCAGTGTATGAACTAGACGAGGTAATTGATTTATCATCATTGAAATCAATAGCATCTGCGATTCTATTACAACATATGGTCAATAGACTCGGTGGCGAATTCACTTGTTTGTAATTATATTGTTTGCTGGAATAACTTTCTCGATCCCCACACGCCAAACTCTCGTTATCATTCAACTGTGGTATGTGACGAAGTTCTAGATCAGAATATTTTGATTTCAGTGACATGTTTTCTGCTTCCAAAATATTCATTTTATCCTGCATTAAAGCTTCGAGATCAATGAATTTATCTTTCCAATTCTTAGCTTTATTTTCAATAATATCCATTTCGCTGGATTTATTACTTAATTCTTCACGTAAATGGTTCAATAAATCATTGGTATCCTTTAAATCTTTGGTTAGATGTTTGCTATCTTCTTGAACTTTTCTTATTTCATCTGATAGAAGAGCTTTATTTGCCTCTAAGTCAGCTATCCCTTTCTTCAATTTTATATTTTCTTCATTTAGTTGTAGGATTTTGTTTTTAGCATCACCTAATGAATTCTCGACATCGTTACATTTTGATTGTTCCGATTTAAGGACTGTGATACAATTATCTATTTTATCTATTTTTAATATGACAGAATTATAACCCGTTTCGTAGTCTTCATTAAAATTACATAACACTTCGTTTTCAATACCAAACTTTGTAGATAAATTCGTTACTTTCTCTAGAATGTTCTTCATAGTCTCAATACGACTAATCATTAAAGCATTTACTTCTTGCGTCAGAGTATTATTTGTTTGTTTTTCACTCTCTAAGTCTTTGGATATATTTTCACAATATATTTTGCATTCATTTAATTCCGAACTCTTATCGTTAATAGACTGTATGAGAACTTTTTGTGCGGATTTAATAGTACGCAGGAGATTACTAATTTTCTTTACTAATTTATCACAGTTATTCGTTTCACAGTCGACAATGTCTTGTTTTAATACTTTTTCCTTTATTTCTTCTATTACAGCTATTCTATATTCGTCGTTGAATTCGTCTATTTCGTTGTCCAATTCCTTCATTTTATTGTTAAGCAATTTAAGTTCCATTTCAGTTTTTTGGAGCTTAGTGAGTGTATCATTCTTTTCTTTAACTATATCTTTAGCTATATTTTCCAGTACTGTTAGATTATCGCCCAAGCTATTAAAAGCAGCTACTAAACTGTCCACGTAATCAGGAATTTCATTTATTTCTCCTTTAAGTAAACTAATGATATCTTGAACTTTCTTCAAACCTAATTTTCCTTTATCAATAATTTCTTGAGTATCATTCTGTTCATTCTTCAGTTTTTTTATAATTTCTTCTTTATCTCTTATAGTAATCTCTAATTTACTAATTTTTTGGCACATATCTCTGGTCTTACAATCATTTTCCTTTTTAATTGTAGATATTTTTTCATTTAGTTCTGAGGACAAATTATTGTTAGCCTCTTTGAGTTTGTTAATGTCATCGTTATGCTCATTTATTTGTTTTTCAAGTAAAGTCTTTTCTTCCTGAATACTTGTTAATTTCTCAGTAAGTTGCTGTTCAATGTTAATAAGATTACTCTTTTCTTGTAATAAAGTGTCTATAATAGAAATATTATTGGTACATTCGCTATTAAGACGTTCAATTTCATTATTAAGTGAATTAATTTCAGTTTTCTTGGTTTCTAGTTCTGCTTGTAACGCTTCAAGATTTTTGTTATCATTGAGATTGGTTTTAAGTATATTTATTTCCTCATTTCGTATAGCCAACGCCTCCTTGAGTGAGTGTACAATATTTTTCATGTTCTCATTATTCGTCAGGAACAGTTCTTCGTTTGTTATTAAAGCTTCCAGATCTGAGTCGCTCATATTTTTAGCTGAAACATCTTTTTTGGTAACATTATTTTGTTGTTCTTTAATCAAGTTATTATAAGATTCAATCTCCGCATTGGCTGAGTCAAGGAGAGATTTTTGGTCGCTAATAATATTGTTCAAACTTTCCATTGAAGTCTTCAACAGCAAGTTTTCATTTTCCAATAGAGACACTTTTTCATTCAAATTTGATATAATTTCTTTAAATTTATCGTTTTTCTCCTGTAAGCTATCTATTTTAAGTTTCTGTGAGTGTAGATTCGCCTCTAATTCTACTATGGTCTGGTCTTTTAAGGTCATCTGTGCTTTCAAATCTGAATTAGGACTCGGTTCTGTTTCCATAACACTACTTTCGAGACTACTATTTACTAAAGATATATCTCTAGATAGGTCCATAAAGTTTTTGAGTTCCCTCTCTATTGCCTTTGATGATAATTTACCTGTAAAATTATTTATAAATATTTAATTAAGAATATTTTTTCTTTGACAGATAACTGTATTATAATAGTTACATTCAAATGTTTGATTAAGAAAATCTGAGATTTTTAATACATACCTATAACTTTATTTTTATTTTTATTGTTCTTTTCCTCAAGTAATGATAACAGTTCATCTTCTCTACACTTTGATTTTTTCTTTAATGTTTCATAGCTCACTTCCCAATCAGTAAGCTTAGTGTTATATTCTTTGCAGGTTTGTTCTAATTTCTCCTAAAGTTATATTGTAGTATAAATAATTACATAAAACCATGACAAAATTATTAATATCTTAAACTTATATTTCTTACCTTAATTGAGGTAATATTGATAATTTTCTTTTCAGCTTCATTAATTGTACTTTTAAGTCTCTCCATTTCTTTGTCCTTTTCATTGCTAATACGGTTTAAATTGACTATATCGTCCTCTAGTTTGCCTATAATTGAAGACTTGTCTTCTAATTTCTCCATGAGTTCAACCTGAGAGATATTATTTTCTTAGTAATTACACAATTATACAGCTAACTCTACTAATATTATAAATGCGAAAGTAACTCTATCTGTCTGTTACGCTTTCATGCCTAAACCACTGAACTGATTTTAATGAAATTTGGTACAGAGATAAAGTTGACCTTGAGAAAGAATATAGGATAGTTTTTATCCTAGACATTTGAAAAGTTCTCTTGGAAACGCGATACAACCGAACTCCACGCGGGCAAAACTGCGGTCGAAAAGCTAGTTGTATATAAAATGTTGCCTGAAAAATATGTTTATTATAAATAACTTACAATATTTGGTGTATATATCTTTTCTCTCTCTGTTAGCTCAACAATGTCTTTCAAGTTCTTTTCAGCCTGTTTAGCAGTTTTCCTTAAGATGCAAGGCGGAGTTTTTGATTCTGAAATAAGTGGATTTAAAATTATAATTTTATATAATATTTTATTTCACATTAAAATAAGTAATTTTATCATACATATCTTGAATTACCTAATGTATTGTTAAACTAATATACAGGGTGACTGGTGAATTACTATCAATATTTAAGGAGCATACTCGGTACATGATTCTCATTCGAATTATGTAAAAAAAATAGGTAGTTAATTGTTGACCAAATTTCCGTATAAATAAATAAAGTGTGTACACGTTCCAAGTATTCCTAGTGTGGACGCGTGTGGCGGCGTGCTGATACAACACTACGCCGCCGCCGCGTCTGTGTGAGTGTGTGTGTATACCTAATCTGTAGGGTGTTCACACGATGCGTAATTAATTACATAACTTTTGGTTAACTTTACTTAGAAGTTTATTAATATTTATGTTATATTAATTTTTATTTTGTCATATATGATCGTCAAATATCACGTCCTCAAATATCGATAGTAATTCACCAGTCGCCCTGTATAGTTACAATTAAAGTATTTTTTTAATATTAATACTTTAATCTAATAATTAATATTACAGTATTTTAAAGAGTTTCTCATCACTATGGGCATAGACAAGTCTTTGTCAATATCAGCTGATCACGTTTGTTTACAAGATTGCCAATTTCTATTGAAATGTACTTTATATATTATATACCTTTAAGGTAGGTATAACTAATTACTAAACCAAACAATTTTAAAGAACTTTAAGTAAAATTCAAAGATATTGTGAATGTAGTTATATTTTCTTTTGTATAACAAAAATAATTTGCAATCTTAAAAAAAACGTAATGTGAGAAACCAAAATCGTATTTATAAATGGTTTTGAAGTGTTTAATAGTAGTGTACAAATAAAACAGTCTTTCAAATAAATTACATAAATACTAGCTGACCCGGTAGACTTCGTACTGCCTAAATCAAGAAATAAATTATGTCTTATTTATTTTTTTGGTGTTTACCTTTAAGCCATAAATCTCTGTGTTCTGAAGTGCGACAAAATGATTGACATATTAGTTAGTTGTCAAATCTAATGTCAAAAAACCGTTAGTATGGGAAATAAAAAAGCGCTGTTTTTAGGGTTTTCCCGGAAATTAATAAAAAATTATCAACTTTTAAACCTTCCCTGAACCTCCACGAACATTTCAAGACTATGATAAGATAAATCCGTTCTGTCGTTCTCGAGTTTTAGTGAGACCAAGGAACAGCAATTCATTTTTATATATATAGAAGATAGAAGAATAAATATTGATTATATTCAATCCATATTCAATTATGGTGACTTTATATTGCTACATTTATCATAATTATTATGGAATATTACAATATTTATATTTATTCAATAATATTTTCATATTTTTGACAGACCCTGTCAGACCTTGGCTAAAGCTGGGAAATTGCCAGGAAGAAGAAGATTTTCATATATTAGATTAGTCAAACACCTACCATACATTAAATGGAATTTAATTAAATTGGTCATAATAGCAATTGAAATCACTTACGAAAACATCTATGGTATGGTGAACACAGTTGAACGTCACTTGAATCTTCGTCGTCACTGTCTGAAAAAAATAAATAATATTTTAAATATCCAAAAGCATATAAAAGAAATTGTAGGCTTAAAGTTAAGAAATATACAATTAATAATGAATGACGCGAGTATTCATTTAAATGAAACTAATATTTTTTGGATTATACTTCGCGTATTTCATCTGATACAAACTACATACGACGACATTCACATCTCATCTTAAAAATAACCGAAACGTCGGGAGTATGTAGTTTAAAATAATAAAATACACGCAATATAATTCGAGAAATCATTTCATATACATTTAATGTTACATATATAGTCTAGTTCCATTTTAATATTAACTACGTTACTGATTTACTCTCGTCTTATTACAAGCTAAAGCACGTATCTAAATAATAGCTACATACCAATTTCAATGATTTCGTCGATGCGCACGTTGGGCGGCGTGACCGCGCGTTCTTCACACACCGGCGTTAGAAACGATCCAGATGGAATTGACTCACGAACGTTTAGCGACAACGGACTGAAATATATTATAACATACAAATTACTACCATACTTCCAAGTCAGTGGTGGCCTAGTGGTTAAGAGGCCCGCCTCTCATGCACAAGTGCGTGGGTTCGATCCTGGTAAGTACCGATGTGATTTTTCCGAGTCATATGTACTTTCTAAGAGTATTTAGACATCACTGATTAATGCATTCCCAAAGAGGGTTGATGTGAAGGCGGGCCAGTCGTAAAAACAAACTGCCAAAACTATTCACAACATGTAAGGCAGACCCTGGCTAAAGCTGGGAAATTGCCAGGTAGAAAAAGAAGACTATAAGAATAGAGTCTTCTACAAGTGTCTACTTGTAGTAGGGATAAAGTATTATGCATTAAATCCTTGCCGAACATTAAAGCATACATGGTGATGTAATAAGAAATTCTTGCCTAATTTTTCCAGTTAAATTCTCATATCACGACACATTATATATATTTAAATACGTATTTTCTCTTAATAAAAAGTATCGGCTATTAATATATTCAAAATAATAATTATTTTTCATTACCATTTAAATATTTCTTCCTTGAATACTAAATAATGTCAAAGCTGACAATAATTTTACATCTGCCAAAAATTTAAATGTAGAAGATTTTTGTTTCACAAAGAAAGAATACGTATATAAGATTAAAAAGAAAATGATAAGTATTTTAATAATATTTTTGTATTTTTTATGTCGTTTGCTATTTTAAAATTCAAATAAACACTACTATACATATTAATAAAAGTGGTGTCTGTTTTGAAACATTGTAATAAACGTTTTTTACTAAATATATACATATTAATTTATATATACAGTACATACACTTAAATAAATTGGTTACATTTATTGTCTGTTTGTTCCGGCTAATTTCTAAAACGGCTCGACCAATTTTGACGAAACTCTTATTATTATGTAGCTCATGTTATAAGGAGTAAGTTAGGCTGCTTTAAATATTTTAATTTAATCTACTTATTCTTTTTTAAGTTGGAAGCGGGACACTTACGGTGCTTGAAAGTTTTTCATTAAACATTGTTTTTTGTTTTTTTTAGACAAAATCGCGGATAACAGCTAGTGTAACATAAAAGAAAAGACTTACTTATATTTCAGGCTGGGAGTACAGAATTTTGGTATACTAGGAAGCGGATCTTCTTGTATTGGATGTAAAGTTGATATGGTCACTCGTCGCGGTTGATGTAATTTCCTACGAGCGTTGCTTATCATATCAGGATTACGGTTCTGACCGAAACCATTCAAGATCAGCCTCTGAAGATTCGCGATTTGTTTCTGTAGATTGCAGTTGTCTTCCTGAAGAAATATAGCAAAATATTAATATTATTTTAAATAATTATTGATTTTTTTTAAGTGATAACTTATGGAAGCGTAAACTGCTTAACTAAATCTGGTTTCAAATTCTCTCACGAATTAAACTCGTTTTCAAGTTATTCATAAACGGATCATCAATTTAACATATACAAAATTTAAAATTTCTTTATTAAATAGTTTTAGTTATCAATTCTGTGGAGCGTTCCGAGACGTACAAATTAATTTTATTAGAGTTATATGAAAATTTTTATAACATTAAAAACTAGTATTAAAGTCTTAACACTAATAGTAAGAACGCATACTGTTAACAAATTATTGAAGAACTTCTCTATACAGATTAAACAATACTTTCCAATCCATTATTACATATACATAACATATGTCTTAGATGACCGATGAGATTCATCAACTATTACATAGTTTACATATGTATTATCTTATATATAAAATTCTCGTGGTGTTAGACAGAGAACTCCTCCGAAACGGCTGGATCGGGTTTGATGAAATTTTGTAAGCATATTGAGTAGGTCTGAGCATCGGCCAACATCTATTTTTTTTACCCCTAAGTCATAAGAGTTGTTCACCCGTAATGTTTTTTTCGGACGAAATATTTTGTTTTTATTTTTTATAATGCAGCTAAAAAATACATACAACCTAAAATTTTTACTTTTTTATCACCAGCCTCTATTTTTTATATAGCAAAACAACATATCAGTATATATGTTTACCTCAACATGTTTTTTGATCTCAAGTTCTGTTTTAAGCAATGATAGTTGTTTAGTAAGTGATTGAATCATTGTAGCGCTCGTGGCCACAAGGTTTACGGCCGGAGTGTTCTTGATGGCTTTCGCGCGGTTTGCAAACCTAGAAAACATTATTAGTGTGTTATACAGGGTGACTGGTGAATTACTATCAATATTTAAGGAGCATACTCGGTACATGATTCTCATTCGAATTATGTAAAAAAAATAGGCACTTAATTTTTGACAAAATTTCCGTATAAATAAGTAAAGTGTTGACACGTTCCAAGTGTTCAAGTGTGGACGCGAGCGGCGACGTGTTGATACAACACCACGTCACGACATGCGTATGTGTGAGTGTCAGTGTATACCTAATCTGTTCACACGATGCGTAATTAATTACATAACTTTTGGTTAACTTTACTTAGAAGTTTATTAATATTTATGTTATATTAATTTTTATTTTGTCATATATGATCGTCAAATATCACGTCCTCAAATATCGATAGTAATTCACCAGTCACCCTGTATATACAATAATATCAACATATCGTCGAGGATAGTACAAATGCGCGTAACTAGCATTGGATAATTCCGCGTATGTACATTGGAAGCAGATTATTAAAAGAAAGTTTGAGCTGTAATATTTTCTACATTAATGTTTTGTAAGGTAATTTTTGCAAAATTAGTAATTATTTGGTGTTTAATTAATTTTCCAATGTAGATACGCGGATTTGCACTATCCCCTACGATATATACATATAAGTTACGTGTTACTCACTGTAATGTGGATATAGTTTCTTCAACAGCCGCGGGTGTGACAGCACAAATTATACTCGTCTTCGCGTTACCTCCGAGAGAATTTTGTAAGATCCGAGTCAATTTACTATCGCGGTAGCTGACATGTCTGGAAATTATATTAAATACATAATACGCTAATTGTATATAAGCAATTAGAAAATGTATATGGAATTTATATCTAAGATATTTGTACCACATTTGACACAAATTTATTTCTACTTCTAACAGATGAGTTTCTTTGATTAATATGATGAATATACAATATCTTATTAAAGATATAATTTGAATGAATGATATTAAATTGTGTCATATTTTATCATTAATATAAAGGAATTTTGCTAAGATAATTTCTTGCAAGATAAGCTTTACAATTGATATAACATAGACAAGGCTTATAGTAATTTGGTTATATTAAATGAATTTCAAAATGTACTATTGACAGTTAGAGGTGAGAAAAACTATCATGTTACTCATTTCGATTGAGCTGTTAAAACTTGAAATATTTTATAATAATATCCAATATAAATAAGACACATTAAATAAATTTTTTCTTTAGATAGAATTTTTTCTTTAGATAGAAACAAGAGCAGTTATTTAAAGATCACAATTTTTTTAATCCTTAGTTAAGAGGTAGCTATAAAATATTCAATTGTAATCTTCAATACATACTTATTTTGATCTTCAGACAGTTGTTTGATGACTAGACCGAGTACCGAGAGTGATTTATTGATGTGTGTCCCTTCTTTGAACCGTATGCCGGTTGCACCAGTTTGTCCTGATCTTTCCGAGCCCGCTAAATCTACAAGATTCAACTGTGACACATTCACTGAACCAACTTCCTCCTCACCTTCGATGTGTTCCCGGGATTCTATTGTCTGAAATGAATATATAGGTGATATTAATGTGTAAGATTGAAATATACTTATTATTAGCTGTAAAGAGTTGAGAAAATGCCTGTTTTGTCCAAGAAATGCTCAGGTTTAAAATAAAAGAGGAAATTGTAAGTGTATTAAAATATATAGTAATAAATCAATGTAATTTATATGTATAACATATGTTCTATTTTAATGTCTAAAAACCCATAACTTTTTGATGGAACAACTTCATAATTTTTTGAATTTATAATATTAGTGGAACAGTAGGATTTTATACAGGTTGTTTAGTTTTATAATGGATTTGTTTGTTTGTATGTAATATAATTTATTAATTTACTTACAATTTGAAATATTGAATGTGATCTGCTACTCTCCTCATTCATGTTTGTAGAGCCGGTCTGTCTGTTTGCCTTACCCTAGAAAAATATACTTTTAGTTATAATATGTTAATGAGATTGCACTTTGAAGGTCATAATAAAACAGACATACATTTGCATATTCATATAACAGTATGTCATTATGACGTGTGCAGAATACTTTGTTTTCCATAAAGGGAAATACCATTCAAATAAGTGGGTGTTCAAATAATGATATAATATTTAATAAAGTTCTTTTCTATGTTTAGTAAGGAAAACAATATATATTATGAAATGTCCCAGATGTAAATAAATCACCTGTTCCATTAATTCCAGCACTTCTGCTGGTGTAACCGTAAGTTTCTCAGTGGTGCATAATTTTACACCGCTATGGGTCTCTTTTATTTTGACTTTATTTTTCAAATCCAGCAGATCTATCAAAGATTCATTGTATATTTCTACATATGAAACCCTGAAAGAATGTAAATGTCAAACAAAATAATTATAAATAGAATACAAAATTCCAATTAAATTTAACTTTAAGTTTATAAGCTTTGTAATTCATTAAAATGCTAAATTGTGTTTCAGGAAATATATGAAATAAGTTTTGTTTGTTCTATTACAATTAATACAAAATATTTTAAAACTTATTGCATACATTTTGAATGATAAATTATATATATTATTTTATCAATGAGATTCATATTAGTAATGTTTCAATTACCTGACCAAAAAGTCTCTGTCAGGTATGCTTTTAATAATATCAAACAGATTTAATACTGCGAGGGGTATTATTCCTGGGGCTTCATTGGTGCCTGTCATCGTATAAGTTTTCCCAGAAGACGTCTGACCATAGGCGAATATTGTTCCGTTGAAACCTCTTGTTGCGGCCTCAACGATATTTTTGGCAACATCGTTGTATACATCTTCGGTTTTAGTCTTAGTGTCATACACTTTATCTGAAAGTTTTATAGATTTTAATTAAAAATAATATATAGGATTTCAAGTATGATACAAATGTTGAAAAAATTTACGAGAGGCGAACAATCAGTGAGAATGAAATTACTTTCACTTTAAAACTGTTTGTGTAAACAATAACAGAAAGTTATAAAAGTTTGGGTAAGTGCTAAAACGAACAAACTTAAGACTAATAAAAAATACTTTTAATTATTTAGCTGTAATACAGTATCTCGTAGTATAGAATCTGAAGCGTACGCTTAACCTTCACGGTTTAACTTTTTTTTGTAAGTAGGTATAACATAAATACAATCTTCAAAAAATAAGTTAAAAAATATACCGCTTTAATGATAACCCCAAACTAAGTTTTACTTACCGAATGTATAACTTGGACCTACATCTTTTCCATTTAGATCTATTTGATATAATGTGTTATTGTTAATTCGCCACTGGTAAAACAGCTTCTCTTCTAATTCACGAGAAATAAGAGGCCGGACTTTTACAACTACTTTGATATTATCACTCATTTTAAATATACTGTTTATTTCTTATGAATAAATATTAATAACTAATAAATATAATATAATATATCGATTAAAAATTGTGCGTGGTAAACATTTTAATAAACTTCTGATTTTACTTTGAATTATAGATCGTCACAAAACGAGCAACTGCAACGGACATTTTCAATTTTATTTTACGAGACAGAGACAAGCGTTTATACAGATCACAAAAACAGTCTTTGAATTTTGAATACATAGGTGTGTGATTTGCAATATTTCTCCTAAATTAATCAAACTTCAGTTATAGCGAGAATAGTTATAATAATAATAATAATAATAATTTAGCAGGAGATTGAAAAAAAAATTACTTAGTAGTAGTTGTTATCCACGACTTCTACGTTGTTAAATAAAAATAAAGATTTTGATAGAACACATAAAAATCAAATAAAATTCATATAAAATTAAAACATTTTAATATTAAAAAGTAATGAAAATGTTTTACTTATATCATATTACTAAGTATTTTCAGTCGGTAGTGGCCTAGTGGTTAAAGGGCTCGCCTCTCGTTGCCGAGGGCGCGCATTCAAACCTGGCAAGTACCAATGTAATTTTTCGGAGTCATATGTACTTTTTGAGGGTATTCACCACTGACATACGGTGAAGGAAAACATCGTGAGGAAACCTGAACTCTCCATGTGAGAAAGAGGCCTTTGCTCAGCAGTGGGCTCTGATAGGCTAATGACGAAGTATTTTCAAAAATATTACAGAGGCAGACAATTAGGTACCTATCGAGTATCGCTGTCAATAGCACCGAAAATACCCGATTTGCGGGGAATTGAGAGATTGGCTATTAGCGAATGAGAAGATAAATTTTGAGAATCCGGGATTTCCCGTAATTTCTTGTCCTTGATAGGAAATGTATCTGAGTACAATGGAAAATGAAAGTATTAACAAGTTACATAAGAATTAAATCATTTCCAGTGTTGATTTGGATGCATTTTATAAATCCTGTTCAGCTTTCTATATTGAACTAACTGTAGATATTGTAAGAAGGTTTGACTTCAACGATCCTTTATTTGAATTGCTTTAACTCTAGGCTTTCAACATTACATTTTTTTGTGGAGTTTTTACTTGTTTCCCAATTTAAAAAAATATTTTGGTCAATAAACTGTTGAGAGCGGATGGCGAGAACATAAAATAATGGAATTTAAGCGTTTAGAATCACTGTCACTCGTTGAGTACTGGCCTAAGGTTTTCAATTTAAAGAATAGGACTTTAATGTTTTTGCTTAAAGTTTAGAAAAACTTATAGGTTTCCTGCCGAAATTACCTTTTTCAAATGCGTCTGTGGAGAGGGTTTTCAGCAACCTAAATAGTATTAAAATACAGCACCGTGGGAGACTCAACAATGACTCCATTGCTGATTTAATGTATAGTTGTATAGAAACAAGGTATAAGGTAAAGTGGGGAATATAAATTTTAATAAAAATATGGCAAAAATAATATATGTACTACTATTCCACGTTACAGAAGGGCCACTAAAGATTAAAATACAAACTTTTTTGTACCTGCATTAGAATCTCCGTCTAACTTTCCTAGCTTTAGCCAGGTCTACCTTCCTGCTCAACTTTATCATCCTCAGTAGTAAATATTCGAATGCTCGTATAAATAAACAGTGACCTTTATTCTGAATAGATATTGATGATAAAGTCTGTAAATGTTTATGTATTTGAAATGGTGAAGTTTACAATAAATGTAATCGTTAAAATAAAATTGCATTTTTTTCAAAGAACGAATTCGGGGAATTAATTAAAAACAAGCGAGGAGTTTCGGGAAATAGTTTTTTTTTATTAGCAGCAGTGCTACCGAGTCTTAACGAGTAGCTCAATGGGACTCGTATCCAGAGCCGTAAAAACATTTACAAAATCAACTTAACGAGTTTAGACGTTGTCATTTGTCAATGTTTATGTCACTGTCATATCTATCTTCCCATGTGTGTTTTTAAGAGTTCAATACTCATATTAATTAAACTACCGGACAAATAATATATTATTGTTTATTAAAAATGCAACATGATGATGTAAGTAGAGAATAAAACTGTTATAAGTAATAATTTCGTCGGATATTTATATTATGTTTTGTTTGTAGGTTGTTTGGGCGATTATCAACAAAACACATTGTTCACATAAAATAACGTAAGTATTTTCATGAAAAAACCATAGTAATGAATGCATTGGAGGAGATATTTAATACACTTTTTAATTAATAACTCAAATTATAGGACAAAGACACAGCAGTTTTGTCGAAATGAATATAACCTAACTGGTTTATGCAGTCGCGCATCGTGCCCTCTAGCAAACAGCAAATACGCTACCATAAGAGAAGAAAATGGTATTATATACCTTTATATGAAAACTGCTGAAAGGTATTTCTTCTCTTGGCTTTTCTATTGTGTAAAATATGTCTTTAATGTCTATAAGTTGTTATATTTGTATATGTAAATAATTCCTAACTTTACAATGTATTAATTTTACTATTTAAAGGGTTATGTTTCCTGCCAAGCAATGGGAGAAAGTAAAATTATCCAGAAACTTTGAGAAAGCCATATATCAGATAAATGAAAATTTATTGTATTGGCCGGCGTTTATTAAAGCTAAATGTAAACAGAGATTCGTCAAAATAACACAATATTTGATACGGATGAGAAAACTTAAACTAAGAAGAGTGTAAGTCATTTTAAATACGAAAATATTATTTATTTATTTGTAAAAACACTTTACAAGGCAATATACGGTAAAACATTGACTTCCACACTAGGTGTGGCCTGTATCGTGGACATTGATTCATTTAAAGCAGACACAATTCAGTAAATTTTTACTACTCTTATAAAAATAGTAAATTACAATCACACAGAGATTGGTACTGTTCTTAAAGTTGTTAACATTTAAAAAAATGAAATAAGAAATCTTTATGATATTATGATATTACAATGTTTATTTTATTTTATTTTAGCATTCTGCTATTTATAGCCATTTTATTTTTCTAGTCATTTTATTTTTAGTTCATCAATATCTTCCTTATTAATGTAAACATACACATTAGTTGATTATGTATATTCTTCTTCTTCCTGGGAATTTCCCAGCTTCAGCCAGGGTCTGCCTTGAATATTATATCTAAAAAATTAAACATACAACAGAAATTAATACCTTATTCAAATGATTATTTTTAATTTTAGCAAAGAATTAGTTCCAATACAACGTAAGATAGAAAGACGTGAAAGAAGGAGGGAAGAAAAGGCACTTGTAGCTGCAAGAATAGATAATGCCATAGAAAAACAATTATTGGAGAGATTAAAGAAAGGAACTGTAAGGAGGTTTTATTATATTATATAAAAAAATAAATGTTTCTTAAGCCAAGATTTTAGGAAACAAATTATATGAATTTATCATACAATTTGTTTATTAAAATATTGGCTTATAACTCTTGCTTACTTAAATATATGTATATGTAAACAAAAATATAATTTTCTTGATGTGTCATATACAAACATCAAATTGTTATCTGTATAAAAAAGAAACTGTTACCAAGAAGAGAACTGGTAAAATAGATCATACTTATCTCAATTTTGAGATTGGACTCAATATTGTAAATTAATAGCTTTAAATGTAGCTTCTTTTCTTGCAGAGAAACCATTAATCTTTAAATTGATCATGTCATCCAAATCACAATATTACATCTCATAAATATATTTAAAAGAATATTATTCTTATGTCTACAAAAAAATGTAGTAAATAATGCTTAAATGCGAATATACAGGGTGACTGGTGAATTACTATCGATATTTGAGGACGTGATATTTGACGATCTTATATGACAAAATAAAAATTAATATAACATAAATATTAATAAACTTCTAAGTAAAGTTAACCAAAAGTTATGTAATTAATTACGCATCGTATGAACACCCTACAGATTAGGTATACACACACACTCACACATACGCGTGTGGCGGCGTAGTGTTGTATCAGCACGCCGCCGCACGCGTCCACACTTGGAACACTTGGAACGTGTACACACTTTATTTATTTATACGGAAATTTGGTCAAAAATTAAGTACCTATTTTTTTTACATAATTCGAATGAGAATCATGTACCGAGTATGCTCCTTAAATATTGATAGTAATTCACCAGTCACCCTGTATATATTTTTTTTTTATACATTAATGTTATTCTAATTTCATAACAGTACAATGACATCTACAACTTCCCACAAATGGCGTTTGACGCGGCTCTAAAAGCCGAAGAGGTTTCAAGTGAAAGTGAAGCCGAGAAATCCGATGAAGAAGAAGCAGAAATGGAATTGGAACCGGAATTGGAAAGGGAACTTCAGAAGAATGTTGAGGAAGCCGATGAGTTTGTTGAAGCTGACAGTGATATGGATTCTGATGTGGTAATATAATAACTATATATGAAACTGATATCTTTAGATTACTATTAAAAACTACATACTCACAATGTTTGGGTTAATTTGCAGCAACTGTGATCAAGTGCAGACGAGATGTGAATGTCTGTCTATACTACTATAATTATTTATGTATACTTAATTCAATATTAATTTAGCAACTTATATCACACGTATTTCATTTTTTTTTTTTTGATGAAACTACAGAAATATTTAATGGTTTATTTGTTAAGTTCCTTTATTATGAATTATATACATTTTATGTAATATCCATTCATGTTAATTTTCTTTTTTTGTTTATAGGATAGTGAATCGGGCAGGAGGGAAGATGTGAATGTCAACAGTGACTTTGAATCTGAAACATCAGATATTGAGGTAATTGTGACTATTAATTAAGACTGGCTTTTATATAGCTTTTATTTATTTTGTATCAAAAATATGCAAACAAAGTATGTAATAATAATTCCTGTGTTTGATATACAGTAAAAGCTCCTTATTCGCGGGGTATATGTTCCGTAAATATACCGCGAATACAGAAACCGTGAATACGGAATGGTTATTTATATGGGATTATAGGGGATACGTTCCTAGGTGACAAAAAAAAACAACAAATTTATATAAAAAAATATTTAATTGAAGTATTTGATCATTATAATTAATTATCTTAAGGCTTAGGCAATGGTTTGAAGAATTTTGTAATTTTTTCTTTCTTGGCAGTTTTTAAAAGCTCCTTCAATTCAGACTGATACACAGCAGTCGCATTAGCAATTTGCCTCTTAAAAATAAGACTTCGTTCCATAAACGGATCAATGTTCATAAAGAAATCGCAAAGTAATTAGGTAAAGTTGTAATAAGATCTATATTACTTTTTAATTAGTCCATTTGACAAGGATATTGTGTTGGATACCTATTTGGAATAATTTTATTATTATGTATGTACTTATTAGATCCGCGAATAAAGAAATTTTTAGTCGCGAATATAGGAATTGGTAGCATTTTTTTAATCCGCGAATAGTGAAAACGCGAATAAAGGAAGCGCGAATAAGGAGCTTTTACTGTATACATATGTGAATAATTCTGATAATAAGATAACACTGGAATCCAGAAATATAGTGACAAGTGTGGTTTCGAGGATAAATTTTGGGCTTTAAGCCTATGGAAGTATGATCACATTACAAAAAGCAATTATAATATTCAAAGGAAAGTTATGCCCAATACAAAATAACAAATATCCCCAATTATTCACATTAATTTTACTACATGTTATAAATTATACAAGTACAGCATTAAAAACATGTGTACATGTTTGTAAATACTTAGGAAAAAAGTGATTATAGCTCAGACTGAGTAGTTTTTGTCACTGATTGGTAGAGAAATATTTACTTATTATTAAAACTATTAAAAAACCCTTTGAGTGACATATGTTTGACACTAAATATTTTTCATTCTCCATAGGACATCGCGGAAAAGATACCAAGGATAAAGAAACCTCGTGTTGAAATCGAGTATGAAACTGAACCAGTGGCGAGTGTTTCAAAAAAGAAAATTAAAAACTGATATTTCAAAACCTTATTCCGTATTTTATTTTACATTTTTACCCATTTTCATTATATAATCTGCCCACATTTTGAATGTAATGGGCGGGTCTAAGCACTTAAAATGATGATAAGACCCGATTGTTTCTACTACGCCAGGTCTAAAAGTGAGTTGAAAAACAAAGCATTCCATATTCAAAAAACAATTTATTAAACTAAATAAAACAATTTATTAAACTAATAAGGATTAAACTAAACACAGAGAATTATTCTGAATTATCAAATTGAGCTCCAGACTAAGATATGGCTAGTTAACGAAAATATATATAAATCTGAAATCTATTCTTAATTAACTGATCTATAAATAAAAGATGTTATGTTCGAGGTATAGTTTCTGTCTTGATTTTTAGTGTTCAACGTTACATCCAATTATATCTTACGAAATGGCTGAAGCCAGTATTTATAGTTTTCAAATACAAGTTTACAAAATTACAATGGTTCAGTATAGTTATTAATTATAATAGTCAAAAATAATGTAAGGATTATAGTAAATTATAATTAGTACGGAACGGAGGGCGTCATTTTTAACAGTTTCTTTAAAATAAAATAGATAGAGCCATCAATATTGCAAATTTCTTAAGTTCCTGTCATAATAAATTTTTACTTCAGAATCACTAAGGAGTCTGAATAGAAGTAGTTATGGCTAAGACTTCACGATTTAATTATGCTCATCCGTTAATTAAGAAAGTTCGAATTCATGCCCTCGTTCCACACTTTGGCGTATTGGAAACTTCAAACATTATTAAATTCAATGTCGGATATTTGTTTTTGTTGAGTTTTACCTTAAAAGATCGAAAGCTTGATACGTAATAAATGGTATACTTTATTAATATTCCAGCTTTTTTGGAATAAAATCTTTATTAATAGCAATTTTAAGGATATCGTAATACAAGAACCGTTTTAATTAAACTTCATTGTTAACGGTCAAAGGCCGCTGTAGATATTTTTATTTAATAAACACCAGTACTAGCTTTCGTTCTAATTGTTTATTAAATTTTTATGAAGCGCTGAAAGGTATTTTATCATTCAATAAATTCGTTCGCAGACCATTTTTCACGTTGATTACGACAAAATTGACGAATTTTCAGTTTGTTTTGTTTTCCTTTGTTCTTTAAATGTCAGCTAATTGGCACTGTCATTTAAATTTACCCAGTGAATTCAAAATTGGAATTTTATATTTAAAAGGATATAATTAATTTACAACCGAAAAGATATGCGATGTTGTACGTAAAAAAAGGTTCACTTTATTTCAGCAAATCTTCATATCCTCAGTTTAATAACCTTTAAAGAATTTCGATCGATGTTTAAGTATCGAGTTTAATGTACTTTTTAAAATGTTGCCAGCTAAATATACATAAGTACATGTACATACTGCTGAGCTTAGGCTAGAAACAGTCTGTAATAAAGCATTCGAAATCTGTGTGCGGTCCTTAGAGAGACATTACTAGAAATACGGGCGTAGCGAAGCGTAGGCAAAGTGTAATTACCTACCAACATGTGCCCTATGTTCTATTTTTGTGGCTACTTGTTATTCTAGTTGCATACAGGTTTTATAAATATTTACTTCAAGCATAAGGCTTTACGTAATCAAATAAAAGGGTATTAAAAATGAAGTCTCAAACATTGCTGTTTTTGAGATAATAAAATATTTTTTAAATTTTAATGAATAAATAATATATTTTATAATTGAATACTTCATTTTATATAAGGACTAAATCAATAAAATTGAACTACTTTTATATTAGAAGGTTTGTTTATATATATTTTATGTAAATTAATTTTTTATACGATACACCTATTTAAGTTTGAGCTCTATGAAAAATATTTACCGTTATATAAAATATGGAACCCATCTGAATATTCTCCTAACCCGAGAACCATTTGAATATCTGCTATAAAACAAGAGAGAGCTTTGTTCGATTTGCAGGCATTGCTTTATTTATGAAGCCACCATTAGCGCCACCCCTTGAGTCTGTTTCACAGTTTAAAAATATTCGCAGTTTACTTCCTTTTAGAAGCACTGTGTATAAAATAGTGTCTTCGTTTTCCGTATAAAACAGATATTAACCGATGTTTTGTAAAAAAATCAATTTTGTATGTTTTGCGAAAAAATCCTTCACGTAAAATGATTATATGATTCTCAATTTAATTTCCTCTACGTATAGTACATATATTCACTATGTGCTTCTTGATTAATTAATTAAAACTCGTCTTCCGTACATACAATTTCGATAATTATTGACCCACTTTTACTGGCGTGCGTGTTTTATGTCTCCTTAATTAATAAACATATACGCTCTGTGGCTTAGCTCGCATGGACTCTTTACTTTTCATCTCAGCGGACGGAATTCTACCAGAAATATTAAATACGTTGGAAGCGCATTCTCATTAAAAATACCGCTTTCAACAAACGAACTACCTTAGCTGAAATCGACAGAAGAAAAATTTGAATATTTCACTGATTATTCTGATTCCTCGTATAGTTCGTATTAAATAAAATATACTGTGATAATATCGTATGATTTCGACAAAGGATTCAAATTAATTGTGTCACTTAACACCGATAAGTGGATGGAATTTATTCATAATGATAATACCGAGTGAATCAACTGATCCGTGGGTCAGTCCCGAACGTGACCAAATATTTCAGCCATGTAACACGATTTGCTTTGCTTGAGATAAAGCGGTTTTGCCCTTCACAGAGCAAACAAATTAAATAGCATGTACGCACATTAACAAGATGTGATAGTCACAAATTGAAGTAACAACCAGGAATATGCATTGTATAATAAATCGCTATATAAATTGCTTGTGTTGTAAACGACCAATCATAAAAGATTATTGAAATGGGGATTATTTTATCGTACTTTACAAAAAAGCAGTCTTTCTCGTCTAAAAAACATTTTTAGTATATGGTTCAGTCTTTTGGGGAATGAAAACATTTGAAATTGCCTTATCTTTCTATTTATTTTGATCTCTAACAATAGTTCTCTTAAAATGGCTAAAAAGAATGTCGTCAAATAACGCATAATTCCTCATAGCTTAAATCAAATAAAAACATTTAAAATTTAAGTTAAATTAGTGTTAGTCACATTTTTATAATAATATAGTAATTAATCTTTCTCTCAAATATTATATGCTACATTTTGAAGCGTTGAAGACACCGAGTTGATAATACATCATTGCTGACAGTAGCGAGGAAGTGCCTACGTGGTCATCGGAAATTACACTTTTAATCCCCGACACATGTTACAGCTCTTATAAATTAAGCTTAGTGAGAAAAATTCTCAGCTATTAAAGGATATTGCGAGCTCATGTTTGCTTTTATTTTTATTTTTCCTCTATCCTTTATTTTATTTCATACATTGCAACGTAACTTTATATACTTTTATTTTGTATAAAAATATATATAAACATTATGAAGAAGTTTTAGAATGTTTATACTTTTGTATAGTGGTAATCAAAGTATTTAAAGTTGTTGAGTTAGTTCGTTTTGTAGTAAAAAGGAACAAGTTTATAGTTAACTGACTTTATATTTAGTGAAGCAAGAGTTACCCTGGAGGTACGTGCGAGTTGAATGATAACGGTTGCAATGTCGGATGAGCATAAATCAATGGATTTATTTTAAACATCGTCCTCATTCAATAAAGATTTTGTCTGCGCTCTACGACGAAAATTGTATGAATCCAAAAAGCTATTGTATAGGGATAATGAGATTGCCAAAGAATATCTTATTAATTTCAATGTTACAACTAATCAAAACGCGTATGTAGGTCTATGCTATATTAACAATTCAAATCAGGCATTAAAATTTTGCGGTCATACAATAATTATAATATAAATGAATCTCATCAATGGAGAGTAAAGTTTGTTGAAACCAAAAATCAAACATTGAATTTAGTTAATTAAAAATGAATGACCAATCAAATATTTATTCAGAAAACATTCCCGTGTTCAGAGTTTAGTGAGCTCGTCATTCCGGACTTAATTTGTGAATCCGCGAGCATTCTTCAGGAGTTCTGAATATTTTCATTAGTTAGTAAGTAATGTTTTCTGTAAATTTAATTTATACGCAGCACGTAGGTACTCTGTCAAGAAACATAAAATAATGAAGTCATTAAAATATATAATGGGTTAGAATAAAATATAAAAAATATTTATGAAAACGTCGACAAAGATAAAGGAAGCTCACGTACAATACATCACATCGGAGTAACAAGAACTAGTGTGGAGTATTGACAGTGCTATATTAATGAGGTTGTCACCTGCAGGCATGAAGCGCGGAAACTCAGATCTTTTGTTCTACCTCTTATATTCAGTTTGCTTTAAATGTTACTTTAATACGATTTTCCTTTCCCGTCTCTAGATCTGTTATAATGTTTGCATTTCTCTTTATACGTATTATATTTGATGAATATAATGGAAATTCTAATTCTGTGTTTGTATTCTTTTATATAAATATATATTCATTTCAATTTTGACGTATATATTGTAATAATGTATCGTATTAAACGGACTAAACTCTTTGAGATAGTGTAATAAATAAATCATGTTCTAATTGTAATATAATACACATAGTAAATGAACCGTAGCTGTTGACGGCGAGGGTTAGTTTCACAACTAAATATATAACTAAGATCTCAGGTGGCTTAATTTACCGCAGTCACCCTAAGCTCGTAAAGCAAGTAAGCTAATGAGTAATGCGAGAAGTATTTAACATTAAGTACGTTACATACTGTTATAGAAACTAATAAAAACTTGAACATTCTAGAAAGTTCTATGTTACATTAATAGAAAATCTAAAACATACGAAATTGGCGCGTAAAAGAATTTTAATGTATCACTTTTTGTAATATCATCGGAGTTTGAAGAATCAAAATATTCAATGACTGTTCAAACAATATCTAACGCTTAATATTATATTAGACAAATAAATGTTTTGTATGTTTTGGGATATATTAG